CGAAGTATACTTCAAGAATTTTATTATGTATTTATTATATATGCTTTCATTTAATAAAATTGAAAATGTTTATGTAGTCTTTGTGTGTATGACAGATGTGCAACAGAGAAGAACCACATTACAAAACAGTATCCTAATTTTTGGATATGGCGGCCATTTATGGCAGAGATCTATTCTCAAAGTACCAAGTAGATGGATCTCTGTGTGCAGAATGTCTCTTCCTAACAAAACCCATGAGGTTGACTCAATGGCAGACCTTTGGATCTAAAGTACACCACTTGACTCAATTACAGGCCTTGGGATCTAAAGAACACCACTTGACTCAATGACAGACCTTGGATCTAAACCACACCACTTGACTCAATGACAGACCTTGGGACCTAAAATATACCACTTGATTCAATGGCAGACCTTGGGATCTAAATCACACCACTTGACTCAATGACAGACCTTGGGATCTAAACAACGCCATTTGACTCAATGACAGACCTTAGGATCTAAACATTTGACTCAATGACATACCTTGGAATCAAAAGTACACACCACCAAAAAAAAAAAAAATTATATTTGGCTTATGCAAAATAATCCAGTATGATTGACTTTGATGTCTGTACAGTATATATGTTTTGTTGAAATAGTATCAAAATATTTGGAAAGAATTTGATTGTCCAAAAACAATGCAACACGAAATGAAAACAAACCAATCAGCTCTCACATAAACATTACACTCATTCCCCACATCACAGATAACAACCCGCACTTGTTGACTCTCACATTCTTTCGAAAATATTTTCATTAGCCCTTTTTTTTTATTCGTTGTTACTAAAGTTCCCTTTTTTTTTAATGATTTAATTTGCTCAGAAATACAACAATGGAAATACCAACAAAATCACAAAAAGATAAAAATCATTCAGACGAGATTGTTTGTAGAGAAAGGAGTTCATGAGAGGGCATAAAAAAACATAATTAATTCCCTTGATTAATAGGTCAAGCAGATTTAACCCTAGTAATTATAGAGGAGAGGAATATCAGAGAGGAAGCCCTTTATTATACAAAGAAAAGAATTACAAATCTTTCAATCTGATCTTGTCATCTTTTTTTTTTGATTTAATCAAAGAGCAGTTATAAAACAAGTGGTGTTATGTAACCAAAGTATGGGATGATTAAATATTTATTTTACGTATGTCTACTGTTAAAATTAAATAGAAAAGTGTGAAAAAGAGACTTTACACATTTCAACATCTAAATTAGATCTATAACAAACACAGCACTATATGGTAAAAAAAGAAATGTATACATACATGTATGTCTACTGTTAAAATTAAATATTATTATGAAAGTGCAGACATTACACATTTCAACATCTAAATTAGATCTAATTTTAATTTGGAACAACACAGCACAATATGGTAAAGAAGAAATGTATACATATCTATTTCATATTTTATACTGAAAAATAAATTGTCTAAGAAAATGTTTATTTTATGTCTACTGTTATAGCAAAAGTGTGAAGGAGATATTACACATCTCAACATCTAACTTAGATCTATAACAACACTGCGCCTATTTGGTAAAGAAATGTACTTATTTCACTTTTAAAAAGAAGTGTTTATTTGAAATATCTACTGCCAAAATTAATAGCAAAAGTGTTAAGGAGATTCTACACACTTCAACATCTAACTTAGATCTATAACAACACTGCGCCTATTTGGTAAAGAAACGTACATATTTCACTTTTAAAAAGAAATGTTTTTTTTTACATATGTCTACTGCCAAAACTAATAGCAAAAGTGTTAAGAAGACATTAAACATTTCAACATTTAAATAGCTCTATAACAACACAGCATCTATGAGCAAAAAAAAAAAAAACTATTTCATATTATGCCCCCGTAAAAAATATTTTTTCAAAGAAAATATTGAAGGCACAATTTAATCTAGCAAGATTTAAATAATATTTTGTTTGTGTTTGTTGTACTATTTTTTATGGTTCAATTTTATTTCAATAATTTGCTTGCGAGTAGGGGTCTTTAGAAGTGGGAGGACAGGTGATCCTACTCCTTGTCATGTACAACCGGGAAATCGAAACCATGCCAGTTGAATCAATGACAGACCTTATGATACAGCGTGCACATGCTAACCATTCGGACATCCAACCCCTTTGTTGATAAATAAATCGTAACCTGTGTTTGATTAATAAATGAAAATGTTCTGCAGCCGACTAAGCTAATGCAGACGGGTGTATGGCGTGCAGTGTGCTACCTGGAAAATTCAATCTGATTACAATACAGATCTATATTTCGTTTTGTTTTTTTATACTTTCGATGGCCTACACTACATGAAGATCTGACAGGTTGTAACGATATGTCGCGTCAGAGGTCATACGAGCGGCTTTTGACCCTATGACGTCAGACATTTGATCAATCAATCAGCATTGATGTTACAAGTGGATTACCCACAGTTCCGTGCAAAACACGCCTAAAGCTCGGCTTAACAGACTGTTTCATTGGCTAAGCGCTCACACCATTCAGAACACGTCAATGATAACAACTCTTCCAGATCCTAGTGTAGTAAAGACAAGTAAAACGAAATTTTGAACTATAAAAACGAAACGATAGAATCTGTGTTTTAATCAGACGGTGGAAAATTTTGACGGTCAGTGGCGCTACGAACTACTCTTAATTATAACTGTCAATGTTCTTTTAAGCACATGCCAATGTGTACACAGGACCTTAATTTTTTGTCCCATCCAGACAACTAGATGTCGACCTTGTTTTTGATTAACCAAACATGATAAGAATGATGTACATGTAAACCTTTACAAATTAGGAATGTAAATAAATCTTTATGGACAACAAAAACAAAAATAAAATCGCAAATGTTTAACAGATTCTGATTCTTGCCATCAGTATTTAAATATTTCAGCACAATTATTATAAACAACTTATAAACATTGATGGGGGGTTGGATGGCCGAATGGTTAGCACGTGCGTGCTGTATCATAAAGTCTGTCATTGAGTCGACTGGCATTGTTTCTAATCCCCGGTTGTACGTGGCAAGGAGTAGGGTCGCCTGTCCAACTTCGTGGGTTTTCTCTGGGGCCTCCGGTTTCCTCCCACTGCTATAGACCCCTACGCGCAAGCGAATTATGTAAATACAATTAAACCATATGTTACTCCTGAAATGACCTAGTTTGTGTCGAGTGGACGTTAAACCCCATTTCTCTCTCTCTCTATAAAGATTGACAGTTATCGACATGATATTTTTTTGCATCGCAGAAAAAATTCAAACAATTCGAATCAACAATCTAAATATCAGTCAACAACATATAATGTATATAAAAATATTTTTGTAGCATCGCAGAAAGAAATTCAAACAATTTGGATCAACAATCCAAATATCAGTTAACAATGTATATAAAAATATTTTTGTAGCATCGCAGAAAAAATTCAAACAATTCAGATCAGAAATCCAAATATCAGTCAACAATGTATATATAAATATATTTGTAGCATCGCAGAAAAAATTCAAATAATTCAAATCAACAATCCATACATTAACAAGTTTGACTGTGTCTAGAGCAGGGACAGTCTACACCTGGCGCATGTGTCAAACAAGGTTCATTGGATGAATAGAAAAGAAATGAAATTAAATGGGGTTTAACGTTCTACTGTTCTGCTCCAACTGGGTTAAGGCCAACGGGCATACGCCATACAGTGTGCCATAGGGAAATTTTTCCTGGAGAGAGGCGTTATGGCCTACACTGTCAAGGGATCCTGATATATGGGTCATGTTATGATATGTATTGCATGTGAATGAAAACCAAAAAATTTGGTGCAATCCTATTTCGTTTTGTTTTTATAGTTCAAAATTTTTTTTACTTGTCATTACTGCACTAGGATCTGGAACAGTTGTTACATTACTGGCGTTCTGGTTGAAGTGAGGGATTAGCCAATAGGTCTGTATTTTAATCAGGTTAATGCCGGTGTAAACATAGTGAAATTTATAAAAAAGTATAAAAGCAACTTCTCGTTGAGTGTGGAGGGGGGTGGGTGTGGATGGCCGAATGGTTAGCATGTGCACGCTGTGTCATGAGGTCTGTCATTGCGTAAATTGGCAGGGTTTCGATTCCCCGGTTGTATGTGACAAGGATTAGGGTTGCCTGTCCAACCTCGTGGGTTTTCTCCGATTTCCTCCTACTGCTAAAGACCCCTACGTGCAAGCGAATTATGGAAATAAAATTGAACCATGTGTTAGTCCCGAAATGACCTAGTTTGTGGACATTAAACCCCTTTTTTTTTCTCTCTCTCTCTCTCTTCTCTCCCTTGTTGAGTGAGGTACATATGTACACTCTACTTAGTTCTTAATACTGTCACTAAAACTAAACATTAATAAATCAGAGAATTGTTCTCTTTTATTTAGACTCATTGTTAATTTGACTCTTCAACACATCTACGAAGAAAATAATATTACATGGTGATTGGCATGTAATGCGTCCAGATTGAATGAAATTAAAGTACATTTATTATGAACTTATTCAAAACAACCATTTATAACATCATATTTATGACAATTTTGCAAAAGCTTACAAAAAAAAAAGAGAGAATTCATTCACTAGTGGTGACATATTGCAGAAATCTACAATATCTAAATGTGTTGTAAATTATATGGTAGATATAGCTATGATATATAGTGTGCAGTAAATCATATTTAATATGCAATATATATGATAATTCACAGTTGTTCGAAATAAAAACAAAACGCAATAATATAGCTGATTAATATCAGTTACTTTGTAGGCTCTATTCTTATGAAATATATAAAAAAAATAACTGCGGCATAACGCATGGTATTTATCTCTATAATCCATGTAAAGATAGGCCAAATAACCGTTAATTACATAACAATAGCCTTAGCGATCATGCCGAGTGATGAAATTAAAAGTGCAGAACGAGCTTGATTTCTAGTAATTCAGTTAAATATCCCATAATATAACTACTTACCTTTTCAAATATCTGAACGTATTCGTTGTATGTTAGGCCTTGCAACAGGTTGTATTAACGTAAAATTCTTCGGGGGAAATAATATGCCTCATCTGGGAGTCAAAATCATAATAATCAGGTCTCAAAACGACAACACAGTGCTAAACTGAATATCTGATAAATTTGCGGCTGTTTTACTACGTTATGCGAGCTAAACAGCTGCGATTACGCATGTTATTACGGCTACTTTTTGCAAATTATGGTCTAGACATAGGTGTCTCATGTGAATAAACAATGCAATCAATAATTCTATGAATATAGTTTATGCTCTACACCTAGGTCAAAATACGCAGTTTTTCCAATATTTTACTATTTTCCCGGATTTTCTCACGCGTTTACCTCCCTTTACCTTTTGATTGACACAATTAATCCAGCCAATCAGATGTGAGTCTGGGAGTTTTGAAGCCGATCAAGATGGAGTCTACGAGTTTGCTGTAAAGAAGTGTTGTTGTCTATCCTAATAATTCGCATGCTATGTCACAAATATGGAAGGATATCGAAATATTTTCACCATAGACCACGTGAATAGACTGCGGCAGCTTGCAGAACAAGATTTAAGAGAAAAGGGGGTCAAATTACCGAAGAGCAAGAAGACAAAAAAGTTGAACACATCACGAGGACCAAATCAAGTAGGTGTTGCCCGTTTAGACCACAAAGTCCACAGTGGTGACAATAACACAAAGCAGTGGTCAAGATCAAGGGCTACTTTTTGGATGTAGACTTTTGAAACACTAGTGACTATATAACATTTGCTAACAAGCATTAGGCCTACGTGTTAATATTAAATATTAGGCCTATTGGTAATTGAATGATTGTTTTCACACCAAAGTTTTAAATTTAAAATTAAAATGTTTTACTTGTACTTGGGCCATAGCATGTATAAATTATTAACCCGTGTTTCGAGATAAGAAGAAATGACGTAGGTAGATACAAATGTAGATCCAACTGGCAAACCAAAATGTGAATGATGATAATCACATCAGGCTTCAAATAGCCTAAGCAAAATTGACAATTTTTTTCTTCAAAACAATGATTGATTATTGTTATTATAACATTTCTGCCACATCCAACAACAATTAATCAAATTGCTTTCCCCGACAATTTAGATTTGACATTTTTACCTCATAAAGACGTGACCAATCAAAGTACTAACCTGATCGAATTTGCGCACGACTAATATAGACCGTAATTATGAATTTCTGTATCAATAGATGATAAAAGCAACGCTTGATTTACTTTATTCAATTGACAATATTTATTTCCTGATAAACGAAAGTTGTTTCATTAGATTGGGCTGTGTATTATTTATGTTAATAGTATAAAATTAACTTATTTTTAAGATGTTGTAAACTTATATTACCTGTGGTAATAAAAAAAATTAAGTTTGCCAGATGAAACTTAAGGCACCCAATGGTAGCTAAAAGCAAGCACGTCGGTTGTACGTGACAAACGTGGGTTTTCTGTGGGTCCTCCGGTTTATGCCCACTGCCAAAGACCCCTACGTGTACGTGGAAGTGAATTATTGAAATGTAATTGAACCATGCGTTAGTCCCGAAATGACCTAGATTGGTACTTTTTATATTTCTAGTACTGAATATCTATGGCCCCCAGATTTTCTGGGTGTAGGCTATACATGGGTAGCATGACATTTTGGTCTCGCGTCATGTTGGCCTAAGTCTTTTTCATTGTACAAGCATGTACCATGTCATGTATCTGACAAGTACTGGCAATGAAATGAAGTAAATTTATTGTGAAATAATTATTATTTTCAGGATGGTTTGATGACAGCTAGTAATATTTTTGGAAATTATCTTTCTCATGTTCCTTGTGTTTATGTCAGTGATTGTGGATATGTACCAAAGTAAGTCTCTTGACCTTTTCAACATCAATTTTATAAAGCATTAGTAATAAGCTTCAAACTTTCAATATAAAAGACCAGTAGTGGCAGAAGGCTACAGTAATAATACATACATGTATGTGCTATGAGGGAAATTTGGCCCATACAACAGTGCTGCAACCTACACTTATTTCAAATTCCATTTGTCAGTCAAATTTTCTTTTACACAGACACATTAACATGTACAATTTACACAGGACCTTGATTTTTTGTACCATCCAAACAACTAGATGGTGCTCCCTGCCAAAAGACTTGTAACTGTTGCACTTGTTATAGCATTGTTTATACATGTACCGGAAGATCCGAAGATCCAATCTGTTTCACAGAGAATTACGAGTCTCGTATAATATCTCTGTCATAGATGACTGCCTTAACACGTGCTGTCACAGCACGCGGTGTGAATCATTGGCTGAATGGCGCGTGCATTGTTTACATAAGACATAACTGCTTCGGAGAGAATGCTGCATTTTAGTCAATTTAATACCCATTTACACTAAATCGGAAATAATTTTTACCTACAAATACGTCAAACGCCTTTATTTATTTTTCCAATATATACAAAAAATGTTTTAGAATTTAATTTGTCGCAGGAAAAAAGTTAATATTTCTAGCTTATTAAGCCGCATCAATGTCATCCTTATCAGTGATTGTCGCGGCCAAGCAAATCTTCACTGCGGATCAGTGTGCCGAAGATCACGCAGTCAAGTGTAGATGATTGCAATCCAGGCACTGAATAGTTAACTGGCATCCTGTCATTGGAAAACAAAAACCAGATTAGTGAGCTCAATTATTCCACAAACCCAAAGGCCAACTTACATTCAGGTCAGGGGGGGGTGGATGGCTGAATGGTTAGCGTGTGCACGTTGTATCATAAAGTCTATCATTTGTCATGGTTTCGATTCCCCGGTTGTACGTGACAAGGAGTAGGGTTGCCTGTCCAACCTCGTGGTTTTTCTCCGGGTCCTCCATTTTCCTCCCACTGCTAAAGACCCCTACGCCCAATCAAATTAAAATTAAACCATATGTTAGTCCCGAAATGACCTAGTTTGTGTCGAGTGGACGTTAAACTCTCTCTCTCTCTATATTCAGGTCAAGTATATTAATCACATTGTATTTTTCCCCACCAGGTTTTTGGTAGATGCTGAAGAAGTAATTGTTAATAATGTTAATCAGGAAGGTATATTTAGGAAATCTGGAGCTATCAGCAGACAAAAAGAATTAAAGGTAATAGTAATATTAAATCTGATCAGGCACAATCCTGTAACAGTGTACAGGTAACTAAGTCTGATCGTGCAAAATCCTATAACTGTGTACAGGTAACTCTAAACTAGTACATAATGAAATTCTAAATAGATGTGAAGCAAATAACACTACAACTCAGGTATGTACATGTAGTTGTGCTCTTTTAGCAGGAGCTTCTGTATTTCATTTCATTTCGTTTCAAACAACTGTTGACAAATTGTTCAAATTCGTTGAGAATCATCGAAAACTACATGTATTGGGTTCCGAGTGTCGTGTACGTTTAAAATGGTCTGTCTAGATTAGATAATGAGTGTTGAGTTTACAACTGTTTATTTTCAGAGTGGTGTTGAGGACTTTTAAAATTAGTCTGTTAATTACTCAACACAGAGTAAAACAGCACAACTACACTATTCCTGAGTTGTAGTGTAAAGTATATGTATATGTATCTCTGTCCCACCAACACATGCTTGTTGACATCAAGACAGAGTTCATGAGCGATGCCCTCTACTAAAAATAAATGCATCTTTCTCAATTAATGCAAAGCGATTTGACCCAAATAAATTGAAGAACACAATAATAAACTGTCTTCTTTGAGCGATAATTAGCAATTGACACAAGTAATAAAAACAAAAACATAAATATGGAACACAATTACTAGTTTAATTAAAGCAACGTTTCATTGAGGGTTTTCTCTACGTTTTCTAGAGAACCCTCAACGAAATGTCGCTTTAATTAAAAGAGTAAGTGTGTTCCATATTATGTTTTTGTGTTTATTAATAATAAACTATGTTATGTCATGTTCTGAATAGCATATTTTCTAACTTAAACAGGTATTATGCAAGGGCTAAATCTGCTTATTGCAGGACTTTATTAAGGCCTTAAATCTATACTAATATTTGTGACTGTCGTTTGTCTGTCTGTTCGGGGTTGGCAGCTACACTAGGTCTGCCCCGAGTCTGAAATTTGGGGTATAGGGGTAGCTCGGACCGGGGAGTTACATAGGCCAGGTGGCGTTAGTCTACCACTTCCGGTTTCGGAGTTATGACCCCCGAGCGAAGCCGGGCATTCTTCTAGTATTATATATAAATTATTAATTTGACACTTTGTAACATGACAAGACCGTAATCAACTCTTGATGCCATTGGATGCCTCTGATTTTAAACAAATTACAATCTGATCTGCTGTTCAACAACTGCTGTGATTAATCGTAAAAATGGATAAAATAACCACCATTATTTGTCTCTAGAATAACTTTTTAAAATTTATTTATTTTAGCAACAAATAGAAGAAGGAAAATGTTTTACCGATGCGAATGTGAACGATGTTACAGGACTTATAAAACAGTTTTATAGAGAGTTACCTGAACCTCTGTTTACTAGTGTCTATCATGATACCTTTGTCCGATGTTACCAACTCGGTAACGAGGACACAGCTTCCCAGGCCATTCTATTACTCTGTCTCCTTCTTCCGTCAGAGTATCTCAGCGCATTGAGATACACCATGAAGCTGTTATCATTTATCGCTCTTCATTCTGACACAAACAAAATGGACGTTGCCAATTTGGCTGTCGTGCTAGCACCGAACATCATGCATGTTAATAGCAAGAGTGAAAAAATGAACTCCACTGAAGAGAAATTGATTCAGATTCAGACCGCGATCGTAGAATTGTTGATCAAGAATGCGGAATGTGTTGGACTTGTGTCGGATGATCTGTACTCCCGTACGTGTAAGATGGTGGAGATCTACGGAGAAGAGGATCTCGATGCAAGCGATGACAATACGCTAGAAGATTCTAAAGATTGTAGAAAGAAAGAAAAGAAGAGAAAAAGGAGTGGATCTTTTCAAGGTTTATATTAATTAAATATCAGTTTACATACACATACATTGTACACCTAAATCTGGGGCGTTGGTTGGCCGAATGGTTAGCACATGCGCGCTGTATCATAAGGTCTGTCATTGAGTCAACTGGCGTGGTTTTGATTCCCCGGTTGTACATGACAAGGAGTAGGGTTGGCTTTCAAACCTCGTGGGTTTTCACCAGGTCCTCCGGTTTCCTCCCACTGCTAAAGACCCCTACGTACAAGCGAATTATTGAAATAAAATTGAACCTATTTTGTATCGAGTGGACGTTAAACCCATCTCTCTCTCTCACACCTAAATCTAAATCTGGGGAATATTAAAGATTAATCTCCTTTGAATCAGTGATGTTATTCACTCTCACAAAATACACATGAAATTAAATGGAGAATGACATTATTTCATATTTTTCACACACTTTGTTTTATAAGTTTTTTTGAATGAATTGATGTCACAGTAGAGCAACTGCTCGATCTCTATCCGGGGAGTTGAGTCGACTGGCATGGTTTTCAATCCCCGGTTGTACGTGACAAGGAGTAGGGTCGCCTGTCCAACCTCATGGGTTTTCTCAGGGTCCTCCGGTTTCCTCACACTGCTAAAGACCCCTACGCACAAGCGAATTATTGAAATAAAATTAAACCATATGTTAGTCCCGAAATGAACTAGTTTGTGTCGAGTGGACATTAAACCCCATTTCTCTCTCTGTCTCGACCTCTATCCCTCCAAACTTCCAAGAGTTGTGAATGGCTATGGTAAACTGTATTAAGGACAACACAATTAAGGACCCTGTACTACTTAGAAATGTGACTCTAGCATGTGGAGGCGGTTTAAGAAGCAGTTTCGGGCAGTTTAGAAAATGAGCTTCAAAACTTTCCTGTAATTTTTTTTAGGGAACTGTGGTGGTCATTATTTACGTGTACATGTAGTCCTACCAGATACTATGTTAATTTTATTTCAGACCTTCATGTTAATTTCTATTGAACGTTTGTACTGGTGATTGAACACCTTATCATAAATTTTGTCACAAATCCAACTTCATAAACTGAAAAATATGATAGGTCTACTTTTGCAATATTTTAAGGATGCAGCTTTTTCATTGGATAAGACATTCGATACAATATTAGCCCTTAGCCAAGGGAAAATCTAAATCTGTACATGTTAAATATTTTGGTTTACATTTTTTTGAAAATGGCCCCTTTATTAGGGGGTTGGGGGGTGTATGTGTGTAACCACATGGTTTCACACATGCTCTTTAAATTACAAGGCCCGTCATTGAGTGAAGTGACGTGGTTTCGATTCACCGCTTGACAAGGAGTATGGCCGCTGGTCCAACCTTGTGGGTTTTCTATGGGTCCTCCGCTTTTCTCCCCCTGTCAGTGTATTTGTCTGTGATGATGAATTAAATCAATGATATCAATATTTTTCAGGATTTGTAAGTTCGATAGCTAACGGTATTGCTAAATTACGAAGAAGTACGGATGGAAAAGAGGCTAAAACAGGAAACATAACTCAGAGTAGTTCCTGTTCCATCAACACTACGGCTAATGAATGTTCAATTTCCCAAAATGCAACTGAACATCCTCTGACGACGCCAGTTGTAATGCGTAAAAGAAAAGCTTCAGGAGAGGTCATTCCATTTTCAGCTACAAAAAAGTAAGATTTTATTGCATTAAAGAGTCTTGTCTATTCCCCCCCAAAATTTGTTCTTGCTTTAATTAAATTTTATGATAAGATCTGTTTGAAAGTTATTTATAGGAACATGAGCAGATACAGGTATACTGGGATGTCCTCTAAAACTAAAGTTGAGTCAACATTTTGTCACAAATACTGTTTTCCAATCTGCTTGTTTCCCAAGGGTCTGCAAGGTAGAAGGGTGTGGGGGGGGGGGGGGAGGGATGCTGTTAATAAAAATGAACCAGGTATAATTCAGTGAATTAATTTCATTAGCTGATAGTTAAGTCAGATTAATAGGGATAGCAATCATCTAGCTGGATGAAGTAAATGCAGATGAAAAATATCCATGGGGTCCGCGATTGGGAACCAGTGACCAGAAATTTGATTGAATAAAACACCCACCTGCTAACTAACGATTACCAGGTACATGATGTTTCAGTCCTGACGTTTTGGGTCTCAACAAAAATATGTCTCAAACCTCATTATTATCGAGTCCGAAAAGTCATTATGTATGTCCGAAAAGTTGCCACACTGAGTCCAAATTGGCGTTTGTGTGGAGTCCGAAAGGTCACAGGACCTAAACGTCATGCTATCAATTAAACTTGACTGACAATATAAATATATTTTACAGGAAAGCTATTATATTAAATTTACCCCAGCAGACGACTCTTGGTAATACACCGTTTACACCAGCTAGAAAAATGGACATAAATGGTGAGTTCACTATGATATATTGTCTTATAAATAATTTTGCATACGAAACTTAAGCTACAGTTAGCTCGGCTTGACCGACATTTTAAGTCCTAATTCAATGATTTTAGTCGAAAACACTAAGTATACTTCAAGTGTCTATTCTGCTTCCATTTAATAAAATTGAACAAATTTTTGTTAATTGTTTGTATGTATGACAGATGTGAAAATTAGTAGAAATGCATTACAAAACTGTATACTAATGTTTGGATATGGTGGCCATTTAGGACAGAGATCTATTCTCGAAGAATTAAGTAAATGGATCTCTGTGAGCAGTAGGAATTTTAGGAATTGCACTTTTTCACTTCCTTCCTATCATCTGGTTTAACGCATGCGTTTTAGGTTATTAGAGTCTGTCATTGAGTCAAATTGCGTGGTTTCAAGCTCATAGTTGTAAGTGACAACAAAAAGTAGGGTCATCTGCCAAACCTCATGAGTCTTCCTGGGGGATTGGATGGCCGAATGGTGCGCTTTTAATCATAAGGTCTGTCATTGAGTCAAGTTGTGTGGTTTTGATTACCCATTTGTACGTGACAGTAACGTCGCCTCTCCAACCTCGTGGGTTTTCTCCAGGTCCTCTGGTTTCCTCCCACTGCTAATGACCCCTATGCGTAAGCGAGTTATTGAAATAAAATTGAAACATGTGTTAGTCCCGAAATGGCCTAATGGCTTTCTCTCATTCAAATTTCTAATGATGAATGATCAACTATAACATGGCTCGGATATAGCAACAAACATGGTACTAGAATTACTTGAAATAGATTTGTTAGTTAGAAACTAGATTAGCTTTGTCTTTAATCTCTTGAGTCCTGTAAGACCTGTTAAATTTTCAGAAATGAAGAAATTAGGGACTATTGATACCCCAAGTATTGCGTTTAGTGAAAGTACTTTACCTAACTTTACAGCCACCCCGTCTGCCAAAGATATGAAAACTCCCAGAAAGAAGTTCCTCTTCAGTCCTGGTAGCAGTAAGAAAACTGTCTCGTAAGTACATACCATCTTATTCTGTATTGAATTCAGTGTTGTTTGAAACATCCGTGTTTACGGCGTGTCTGGCAAGATGGTGAAATGCACGAAATACCCTCACTGTCCATTTAATTTGAAATGTAGTAAAATCTCTCAATAATTACTGCACTTGCATTATTTTCTACTGGTTACAAACCATTGAAACTGGAAGGTGAGGCTCGATTGTTAGTCGGGAAAATTCTGCGTGTGACGCAGAATTCCGAGTAACAGTTCTGTCAGTCCTGACAACTGAGATGGTGTGAGTAGAATCGTGACGTAATTAAGCACAACGAATATGTTTTAGCTGTCATGGTTGGTTGAGATATTTTCTCATACAGTCGTCGCATTTTCACTCACTATTTTTTGGTTTAACAGAATTCAATTACAGAATGTTCAATCGAGCATCCCCAAAGTGTGCTATAGACTCAGTTGTCAAGTACATAACCCTGATAAATGTTCATGACAATCATAAATGATACTGGATAATCATAAGTGTTTAACTTTATGAGAATTGATTTAGCAGTTGACAAAATAAAAACAAAATAATAAAAACCTCCCTCCCTGATAAGATTTTTTGGATGGATTATCTGAAAACCAGAACCTTTTTTTCTAGTTTGGCCTATCTACCCATTTTTTAATTTATGGAGAACAGGTGCTTGTTTATAATTAATTACCCTAAATATCCTCTGGGTTTAAAAACAATGATGGCTTAGTTTAAAACCTTAGGCAACTCCTTCACACCAATGGTTTATGTCCCCAGGCAATATAAACTTTATGCCTCATTAAGATTTAGGAAGTTAATTCCGGAAATGTCCAGTATAGTATTAGATAGTTGTTTATTTTTTGCTTCAAGGATATTTCTTTATTTCATGAACATTATGTAAGAGTAAAATGTGCCTCAGATTGCAGGGCTTTCTTTTGACTTCAAAAGTTTTATAAACTATTATTTAGACATTTATTCACATAAATAAACAAGCCTATAATCAACTTTCTAGACCATCGGATGGATAAGATTTAAATGATTTAGGACACCTGCAAGATTTAAAATTTAATGATAAAATTGATAATAGAGACTTACACGTAGACTCGATTGTCAAGTACCGTTGCTCTGATAATCAACAATCTACACTATATCTTGTAAAACACCCATAACTTCACTCGGAACAAAGTAATTTGAATGAAACTTGCAATATATAATTTAACCATTATAGTAAAAATGGCCAGAAATCTTACATGTAAACACCCACTTAGAATAAAGTAATTTGAATGAAACTTGCAATATATATATATATTAGAGCAAGAACGGCCAGAATTCTTACATAATGCATCTTATAAGTTTATACTACAGTACAAGACATGGAACAAGTTGAATATCATTCTGGGACATATTTGGTTTTGTTTTCTTAAAAGGGAGCCACGGTGGTTAGGGGGGTTAGATGCTGGCTTGCTAGCCTGGAGGTCACGTGTTCGATCCCTGCATTGGCTGAGAAAGTTCATGGGGATTTTCCAATGTGGTTTCCCCTTGTCAGTGGTGCAGAACAGAGGGCCTGTCAAGGACAGCTGTCTAGTCCTTTGGATGATGCGGAAAACCAATGGCCTGTGTATACATTGGAATGCATGTAAAAGATCCCTTGGCAGTTGGAATTCGATATAAGAGTAGGCGATAGTGCCGCTGCCCGGGCAAAATTTCCCTCATAGCCCATCTTCATTAGCCCAGTATAGGAGCAGAACAGTAGGACGTTAAACCCCATTTCATTTGTTTTGTTAACGATGCATTATTCAAAAGCTAAATCTGCTCATTGCATATATTTCTTTATGACTTAAATGTTTATAAATTATTGATTAGACATTTATTAACTTATCAAGACCATAATCAACTCTCGATGCCATCGAATGCTTGCGATTTTCAACAGATTTCAATACGATTGACAGTTAATAATTTGATTTAAATATGGATAATTGAGACTTTGTTTATTATTTTAACAATGTCAATAATGACAATTGAGACTACACTGTTCTTCTATCGGCGATAACTCGGCTCAGACTGAATTTTCAACATATTCCCTTTTCGTTATCCTTTTTTTTTCTCTCTCTCCCTCTAAACTGAACTCAATAAATGCATGGTTATAAGTAAATTAAGATATTTGTATATTTCAGTAATCCAGCTAATACTAGTAATAGTAGTAATATATCTACAGGTTCTATTAAAAAACCTAAAGGAAAGAATATATTTAGACGACTTAGTGGTAGTAAGAGTGATAAGGTAAGTGCATGTAGTTCATGTAGGCAGATTCATCAGGTCTTTTACTGCTCTTACTAGTATAGTTAAAGTTCTGCATTTTCCAGCCTTGTTTCAGTGGTGCAGGATGTAGGGCTGGCAATGAAAAGTGGGTAGTCTTTCGGGTGGGACACCCATAGCACTGTCGTCAGGGCCAAATTTCTATTAAAGAAGCACTTGAAAGCTCCCTTAAAATTGAAATTTGAAATAGGAGTTGTTCATATAGCACAACTCATTATATCACTCGACCACCCAACCCGCCTTGTCAAAATGTACCCAGGGGCAACTAATATCACCTTTAATCTCTCTATAGTATGGTGACAGTGTTTTGCTAATTACAGTAGAACTTTTTCATTCATTATCTAAATGTAGTTTATGTGGCCTTTAATAATTTAACAGGAATGCTAGATAAAGACTAGAGAAGAGAGAAACCTAGTCGAAACGTTGCTCAGTAATAAATAGGAATTGTATTTCATAGAATGAGGGGGGTTGGGTAGCTGAATGGTTAGTTGTGTGCACATTTGATCAGCAGGTCTGTCATTGAGTCAAGTGGCAGGGTTTCAATTCCCCACTCGTACGTGACAAGGTGTAGGGTTGCCTTGCCTGTTCTCTGGGTCCTCTGGTTTCCTCCCCCTGCCAAAGACCCCCTAAATGCAAGTGAATTATTGAAATAAAATTAAACTATGTGTTAGTCCCGAAATGACCTAGTTTGTGTCGAGTGGACCTTTAAAACCCAAATCTCTCTCTCTCATGTAGACTCTCTCTCTCTCTCTCCATAGAACTATGACCGGTATATCTGAATATTTTTCACATTATCTTTGTTTGAAATATAACTTTGATTTTTATTGCATTTCAGGATTCTGAAGCTCTTTCATCATCCACATCTAGTAATATTGGTGAACGTCTTGCGAGTCCACCAGACTCATCTCCACAAGATATTGTAGACAGAATCCACAAACAATCCCATTTAGATTCTCCGCTCTCCGGACGATTACCCACATCACCTTCGTTACCTGATATTTCGGTTCTTTCGCAAGCAAATTCGTTGAACGAAGGATTTATAATGGATGGTGCTGAAAATGACTTTGAGAGATCAGAAGCGACGCAAGACCGCGGTCGAAGTTTACAGAGAAATGCCCAAGCGTCCTCATCTGATCCAACTGCTGATAAATCTCCAAAGAAACCATCCCGAAGATCACTCTCAGCGGATCATGCGATGCTCAATAAGTTACAAAATCTTAAACGAGGGGCTCCAAATACAATTACGAATGGATTGCTAAAAGGTAAACCATGTGATTTGAAAAAGTTGCGAAGAAGTTTTGACAAATCGGACATTGGAAATCCTATTCCCTTAGTAGTACCGACAGTCTCTGAAAATGCGATGACGTGTCAACAAGCTATGGAAGTGCAAAACAGACGAAATGCAGATTCGGCTTCCATAAAAAGCTTATCTGGGACATCAATTGGCTCTTCAGTTTCTCAGATATCAACTAACTCGCAACAAAAGATCATGGCTCCACCTCAATCAGATAAAGCGTACGATTTGGATGAATCTGACACTGGCTTTTCCACAATTTCTGGCAACACTGTTATTTTTGTACCCAAGGGAGGTAAGCCAATGTTAGTACCTCATCATCCTCAATATAAAAAGATCAAATCGAGTGACAGTACAGATAGTTTAATAAGTTCTGTGTCGGAGAGTTCCGAGGCCAGCAGCCATCATGTTAAAATGGAAAGAAGCGTATCAACCGACAGTGGAAAAGGATCATTACTTGATGACACCATGTTAACAACGGCTCACCCAAAATCGTCCTTGGATACGGCATTCATTGAAGAGAGCATGCTTGTTGATTCCTCGATGAATCATACAAGAGTGGAGCTAGATGAATCGAATGTCAGTAAACAACCTACAGGACAAAACATGGCGCCCATGAAATCGATTTCTTCATACGATTTACAAAATGCTGCGCCAAAATGCCAAGTGGTGCGATCCCAGAGTATGTATTGTACGAGTTTCAATCGTCCAGCGCCCAACATAAAACCTAATCTGCAGATCAGTAAAGAGACCCATAAACTCCTGGCTCGCGCTGGATTTATGTCAGAAGGGAAGGTGGCGAGAAGTACGGAGGATATCCAAGTACCGGTGAAATCTCCAACAAAATCCTTTTGCCGAGATCAATCGAGCAGATGCTCCATCAACATGGGTAGTCTGGTCGATATGAAATCTGAATTGGACAATGAAGAAATGAAGCAAAGCAGAAGTCATGGTTTATCAGAAGTAGCAGAAGAGACAATGGAGGTGGAGACTAGTGAAGAGGCTGATGTGATGACAGAATGTCCGTCTGCGATTATTAAGAGAGCCAATACCAGCCTTCCTAAACACGACAGTATCCTGAATATCCAGCAGTCGAATTGTGGAAAGGTCGCAGAAAATGTTAAAAACCTCGAACAGTCAGTTGATTCTAAAGATAAATTTGTGTCACCTTACCGCTTTCCAAATTCCACGACACGAAAACGAGGTATGTCACCAATTAGGATTCCAACAATATTTGCTAAAACTGATCAACAGGCGGCCAAATTTAGAGAAATTGCTTTAATGGCTAAAGAACGGGGCGCGTTATCCAGAGGTGTAGCAAAAGTACCTATTTCAACAAATTTACTAAAATCTTCAAGCACTGTTACGGACAATAATTCAGATTTTGAATTTGTGAAGCCAGCGGAACGTCCCAGTACGTATCACACGGACAGATCTAAGTCTGATTGTTCCGTGGCTACCAGTTCCGTATCCGAAACAAATTCAAGTATTTCTATCAGCACCTTAAGTACCGATTCTTATTCAGACTTTTCGACGATTTCGCCTATGTCAGAATCGGGAGAATCTGGTGATGAAGTTTTCTCTCCAAAAACAGAGTCGACTCAATCAAATAACGATCAATTGGAAGAAAGTTCTGACGACGCGACTATCAAAACATCATTTAAGGGACAACAGATTGAATTGAGCTGTTCTTTAATGGAAACTATTAATGAAGTTTGCACACCTCAACGGTCGGCACTGAAGGATTGTGGGAATGTAGTTGCTAAAGAACAAAATCAGTCAAAGATGTCTGAATTAAAACTTCCCAAATCGGATGAAGAAATTGGAGACTATGTCGTTTTACGCACAGCAGGAGGCTTGACGCCCAGACAGATTCTACGATTTTCTCAAACGCCTAAATCAAAATGCATTTCTCCCAATAAGCCTGTCAAACGTCTAGTCTCTCCAGGTTCCCCTCGAAGACACACAGCTCGTCAATCAAACAAATCGTCACCATCGCGGAAATCTGATGGAAAACCAGTATTATCCTCCATACCCCAGCATTTACAAACAGACGTTGGAAATATTTAAATAGACAATCCATATCTTATTGTTTTAAATCTGTTTTTAACATCTTTAACTTACTCGTACTTATTGTGCCATCTGACTTGCTATTTCTGTTTTTATTATTCATTTACAAATTGTTCTCACCCATGTAAGATTAAAGATTTGTTAGCTCTGTTGCAGTGGTTCTCAAGCTTTTTTAGCCAACGGCACACTTTGGAACACATAAAAAAATAGTGGGACAACTGGCTAAATATATATGGAAAATATTTGAATTTTGCAAAATAAAAACATGGCATACAGTCGTAGACACAGACTAGGCATAGACACATAGAACGACTCAAACTAAATAAAGAAAAACACAGCTATGAACTTACTTTATTGCAGTGTTTCGAATTTCATCAGTCAAATAGCTGGCTTCTTTAGTGAGTAATTTTCTTATTGTGCTGTTCAAAATTTCGTGGCACACTTAGGATGATCTCACGGCACACTGGTTGAGAACCACTGCTCTAAGGCTATATTTGGTGAAAATTTGGGTTGTTTTAAAAATGAGTACATGTAGTATATCTCATATTTTGATTTGGCATATTCTTGGTCCGATGTAATGGACATGTCTGGTATATAAACCAAAAACAGCATTCTTGACGTAGTCCTTATTTGAGCTAAATGCACACAGCCACTACTACTACAGTAAGGAATATACAAAATTTATGTAGGCCTACTATAATACAATGTCAATTTTTTTTTATAATGATTGAGTCGAATTTTTTCTTTTAAATATATCGCGGGTGATATGTTGATATTCTGAATTCTACAAGTGACCATGCCATACCAGAAAAAGCAATCGCAATAATGCCTACCCCCGATATATCGCGTAGCAATCTTACTATTGACAAACTGCTGAGAAGATGTAGTGAGTTCACCATTGAATTTGTAGCATCATGTGTTGAAATTTGTATTTTTGTATACTTGTCTTTTTTTTTTTTTATTAATAGTGCTATGTTAACTAAAATTATGTAATATATTAGTTGACACTATGGTTGGGCTATAAACTTAACTCACGACTTAAACTTGAAGTCATATTGTATAAAAAAATGTTAAAAGTGAATTAGTTGACGCTGTGGTTGGGGCTGAACACTTAACTCTAGACTTAAACCTGAAGTTGTACAAAAAGAAATGTTAAAAGTGAAAAGTTGATAACTGTGGTTGGGCTGAACACTTAACTCAGGACTTAAACCTGAAGTCATGTTGTATAACAGAAATGTTGAAATGTAAAAATTATAATTGATCAAAATTAGAGAATCCCACATGTAGTAGATTTTTGCTCAGTAATAAACAGTAGCAGTATTCCACAGAATTGTTACCTTTACATCTGTGTATATATCATGTGTTTCTGTTTTAGCTACTTCTGAGCGATCACCTCTTGATATTAAGGCTACTTGCAGATTTCGTCACAAGAATGTAAACAGGGTCAGGTTAGGTCATGTGACTGTTACATCTCTTGACCTTGGCGAAATCTGCAGGTGGCCTTAATATTTAAATCTGACCGCCTCTGAGCTTGATTTTAAAGTCCGACTCTTTAACACTTCTGTAAAGTACATGTATGACATGGTCTAAAGTATAAGCTTTGAATGAGACCTTCAGTCGTTTTGAATATTTTTTAATTTACTTTTTGCTCAATATTTAATTTTGAGTTGTCCCCCTTTGTATATTAAACCCCTTTGTAAATTTAAACCCTTTTGTTTTTCTTAATCTATTATCTATGTGTGTAGGGGTTGATGTTTGATCATTATGCAATTTATTGTATGTTTTGGCACAATTTTTTGTGGGGTCACGAAATGTGCTTAAATCGGGTTTTAAATAGTCAATGATTGATTGTCTTTTGTTGAGTTTAAATAATCTTGTTTTTTTAATTCAAATTTTTTGTAGCCATATATTGGATTCTATTAAACATATATATACAGCATTTACTTCTACATCTTTGACAAGATTGTTTAATTCTATCCTCTTACGCTTTGTCTTCTGTCTATCTTTCTTACTGTCTACATTAGCCTAGTCGAAACCGAACAGTCGGATGTTAAACCCCAATTCATTTAATTCTTATTTTAAATTTTGAATAAGCACCAGGGGATTTATTCACAAAAAATAAAACTTTAAGAATGCAGCCATTTCATTGGCTAAGAGATAAAACATGTACTAAAATTTTAACCCTTAACCAATGAAAATGCACCATCCTTGAAATATTTTAGTTTAAATTTCCATGAATAAGGCCCCAGTTATAGTTTTGCTCAATTTGTTTAGTTCTAATGGTAAACCCGCTGATTGTCAATTAGTCATTTGCATTTTTGGAACGATATCTAATATGTCACAGATTACATTTTCGCGGATTATTTAACTGTTACTTGAGTAAACAAAGCCAAAATATCAATAGTAGATATAATCTTCTGGCTTTGATTTAATTGCATCTTTAAGTGGCATTTAGTAATTGAACAGTAACACAGTAACACTATGGAATAACAATTACTGGTTTATTAACATGCAACGTTTCAACGATGATACTCTCATCTTTATCAAACGTTGCATGTTAATAAACCAGTAATTGTTATTCCATAAATAGTGTAAGTGTGTTTGATTTATTTGAAAGAAGCCAGATCGAAAGGTTTCCAACTCGTAATGGTGGCTTGGAAAGTTTATATTGTCTACAAAGTATTCAAAAGTTTCAATTTATCATATCTTTGTTGATCCTGAAAGGAATTGAACCTTTTTTGGACTGATATTCTCTGTAGAGATCCAACATTCATAACACTGTATGTGTATTCAAAATCCCTCGAATGACGATCAGCAGTTTTAAGAAATTTGAAATGAAAATTTTAATTGAAGCGTCATACAGACTTTGAAAAATTCGGAAAATTGAACATGTAAAAAAAAAAGTCTGTGGAATGGCCTAACAGATTTGTGTATTGTATGTACCTGTGGTCATGATTGATGTGTATTACCTGAAAGCGTGCAATATGGATATTTCTATGATGGTTGTGATTTTTAGTAGGAAAATGTTGAGAAATTAATTACGAAATGAGAAGTGCAGACTTAAATAACCCTTTTGATTAAAAACTGTCTTTTCATTATTTATCTTATGACTGATCTTGAAAAGTGAATACTTTGTAATTCTGTTTATAATTTGTTCATTAATTAATCGTTAATATTTAATACTGCTCATTCATACTCCTCAATTTAAAATGAATTGTCTAATATTACGAATATAATCATTGACCTATATACACGTTTGTTGTTGAACGATATGTTGCATTTCTTACCACCCTATGTATTCTATTTATAAGCTAACGATCAAAAGAAGGTTTTATTAGTTAAGAATTAAAGATACATTATGTAAGATTTAGATAAAGAGCTTGCTGTTCTTGTTATTATAATTCAAAAATAGATAAAGAAAAATGAATATATTGAATATTGCATTCAAATTACTTTATTCTGAGCGAAGTTATGACTGTTTAAAGATGTAGCCTAGATTGTTTAGTATCGTACCAAAGATACTTCACAATCAAGGCTAAGTCCCGATTATCCATTTGATCTCATTGGCGTTTTATCCATTTAAAACTCTGCCATCCGATGGTCTAGAGACTAGATTATAGGCTTGTCATGTGAATAAATGTCTAAATAATAGTTTATATAAAATTTGAAACTAAAATAAAGACGAGCAATAGGCAGATTTATCTCTTACATAATGCATCTTTAAATTTTGGTTGTGTGATAATTCAGCCGTTATATATTTTACTGCACATAGATACGATTGTATATCATTAAATTAATGATTGTTCATTTTTATTTATTTTTTAGATAAAATTTGTCATAATAAAAAAAGAATCTTCTATTCTGAACTTAGATATCATTATAATAAAAATGTATACATATAGTTTTAAATTATAAGTTGATTATATTTGTTGATATTTAATGGTAAATGATAACTTGTTTGAAGAATATCTAATACTGTAAACTGTACAATTTATATCTTCAAGTGGATGTTAAGCCCCATTTCACCATCTCATAAACAACACCTTATAAATCATGAGACTGATTGGTGAAGAACAGTAGGATGTTAAACCCCTTTTCCTTTTATTTTATAATTTTTAATAAGCTTTCTCTTTTCTGTAAGAAAACCACAGGTCTGTAAATGTGTTTTCTGTACCTCAGAGGATGCACATTAGTTTTCCATTTTATAAGTTTTAATAAGTTTTCTCTTTTCTGAAAGAAAACCACAGGTTTGTAATGTGTTTTCTGTACCTCAGAGGCTGCACATTAGTTTTCCATTTGATAAATTTTAATAAGCTGTAAATGTGTTTTCTGTACACCTGAGAGGTTGCATGCTAATACAGATTCGTAAATTGTTTTCCATAACATATTTTCTGTTAATGAGGGTTTTAGTACTTGTGGCAAGATCTTTTATACTTTGCTCAATCTTGCTTTAAATGTGTAGGATGCTACACCCCATTTCATTCGATTAATTTTAATAATCTTTTTCTTCCTATAAGAAATCCACAGGTTCGTAAAGTGTTTTCAATCAATACCGATTTCTGTATGTCAGAGCTTCTATTGATGAACACTTTAGTGTACTTGTGACAACATCTTTGCTCAATCTTGCTATAAATTGATAAACCTAAGTGTAGAGAGTTTTAATAATTTTTTTAATTAAAACTATGTATATAATCTATTCTCTCTTCCCCTGTCTCTTGTATAATTCTGTATAAGTCTATGTTTATTTTATATTGGGTCATTTGTAATATATACTAGTTGAATAATGTTGTACATTTATCACACAAACATATATAATAAAAATATATTCTATATATGATATGTAAACTATATATTACTCTCCTTTGGTCCTATTTTTAAACAGCTGTTAAGTCGTTCGGATGGGGTGAAAAACCAAGGTCTCGTGTATACTTTGGCGTGCATATAAATGATCCCTTGGCAGTTGGGATTTGATGTAAGAGTAGACCATAGTGCCGCTGCCCTGGCTAAATTTCCCTCATAGCACACTGTATGGCGTATGCCCGTCTTTATTAGCCCAATCAGAGCTGAACAGTAGGACGTTAAACCCCATTTTATTTCATTTTCATTTCCTATTTTTAACCCCGCCTTCATTAGCCCAGTTCTATTTTTAAGGACGCTCAGTGAGAAGACGCTGACTCGCTAATCAAGTCTTAGCTTCGCTCCTGGTGTTGACAGAAAAAGGTTCTCAGGATATCTCTTGTCCGGTGCAGGATGTCTAGTCATTCGGATGGGATGAAAACTGATGTTCCATGTACACATTGGCATGCACGTTAAAGAACCACTGACAGTTGGAATTTGATATGAGTAGGCTGTAGTGCCGCTGTCTGGGCAAAAATTCCCTCATAGTACACTGTTTTACTCATGTCCATCCTAGAAGCCCAGTCAGTAGGACGTTAAACCCCATTTCATTTCATTTTATTTTCCTGTTTTTGATCCCGCCGTCTTAGCCCAGTCCTATTTTTAAGGTGGCTCAGTGAGAAGACGCTGGCTCACTAACCAGGAGGTATGGGGTTCTCTACCGGTGTTGGCCAAGTAAATAAGTTAGGATTCTCCCCTTAGAAATTCAACTTTGTCCTATTTTAACCCTGTCTTCATAAGCCCAGTCTCGGCAGAAAAGTAGAACGTTAAGCCCCATGTCATTTCCTGTTTTAAGGGTCGCTTCAGTGAGAAGACGCTGGCTCGCTAATCAAGTCTTGGGGTCGCTCCTGGTATTGGCAGAAAAAGGTATTAGCGATTTGGATGGCATGAAAAACTGACGTCCCATGTTCACATTGGCATGCACGTAAAAGAACTCTTGACAGTTTGAATTTAAAATAAAAGTAGTACCTCTGTACAGGCAAAATTTCCATCATAGCACACTGTTTGGCGCATGTCCATCCTATAAGAGGAGGATGTTAAACCCCATTTCATTTTCTATTTTTAAAGGGTGGTCTAAAGTATGCACTTTGGATCATAAGGCATAGTTTTGGTCCCAAGCTTGTATATGACAAGGAGTAGGGTCACATGCCAAACCTTGTGGGTCATTCAGATTCTTCCAACTGCTAATGACCTGATACATGCAAGTGAATTTTTGAAATAAAATTGTACAAAATGATAAAGTTTTAAATTGATCTAGTTTGTATACTCTTCGAAACGTCGCCCAAATAAATCAGTAATTGTTCTTCCATAAGTATGTGTTATAGTTTATTGCTCTATCCAGTTACTAAATGCCTCTAAAAGATCAATATTAAACCCCATTTCTCTCTCCTATTTTTAAGACGGAGGGCCATTCAAGGACAGCTGTCTAGTCATTCGGATGGGATGAAAAACCGAGGTTCCGTGTACATATTGGCATGCACGTAAAAGATCCCTTAACAGTTGGAATTCGATATAAGAGAAGGCCACAGTGAATCCTGTGTCACACAATTGCAATTTCGTCAATTCGGAACGTTCCAGACTGCAAACGAGCATCCTCTAAATCTAGCGATGAGGGGAGACCATAATAAAAAAAATGGACATTATTCCAAATTATTAGTACATGGTTAGGGGAGACCATAATGGTTATAAAGGGGAATAACCCCAACCCTATTTTGCCATCTTGGGACTTTCAGATAAACTCTTGATCTTCACTTCAACAAAAAAACTCATAATCCAAAACAATTCCACTAATTTATTTCTGTTTATCTTTAACAAAAGTATAATAATAAGACAGAACCAAAAATTAATGGCTGACATAATAATAATGAATACATGTGTATATGAGTATATCTTCTTACTACAATAATCTTTAAATCTATCACCACCTATCAGATATTATTTTAATTATGTTTCGGTTTATTTGTTCACCTTTTATCAACAATGATTATAATTTCTGGCAGTAAATTGAACACAGGAGACTATCCAGATTTGGAGTCGCTCATCCAGTAAGGTCCATGGCTTGTTCTCGGCATTGGTCAAGAAAGTTCCTCGGGGGTTTCCTGCCGTGCTTTCCCCCGTGGTGCAAGACCTGACAAGACAAAGTGTCTAGTCATTAGGATGGGACGAAAAAAATGGAGGTCCCATGTGAACCTTAAAAAAAACCCCTCATAGTCAGAATTCCATTGCTTTAAGCCAAAATTTCCCTTGATAAAAATCGTGACTTGAATCCTAAAAAAAGAACCTATATTCGAATTTGCTGCCATCAAGATCTTTAAGTTCAAATTATACTAGTCACTGCATCCTCAACTAAAGAATCTCTAACAAAACAAATACGGTAAGCTGATTTAAAATACAAATGTGACGTCTTCCTTTGATGATTGTGTACCAGGCTGTACCATTATTTCAATCAATGTACAGACTAACGCCCTTGTGTACAACAAACAGATATTTATGGAATGGATAAATATATATACATGTATTTAATCAATGTCCGCTAGTATATCAATGACTTATAATTAATTGGGCAATTTGAGCTGCCCATTGTAGGTTGGAGAAAATGATCCATCATTTATTAAAGAATACATAATTTATTCATTTTTGCAAACCAAATCAATAAAATGTGAATAAAGTGTTTAAATAAAGGGCCCAGAGTTAATAGTACACTATAAATAAAAGTGGGTTCAAGTATCCAAGTCAATATGCTAAAATGTGACAATATAGCCTATTTATCTTGAATATTGAGACTTCCGGGGAAAAAAATATATCTGGGATTGCTACTTTAAGTGAAATTATAAGAATGAGATAGAATGCATACATATGATAAAATCTCACAAACACTGTTATATTACAAGGTTAACTTCTAAAATCTTTAGCTAGTTTGAAGTTATTTCATCTGAAATCAGTTTCACAATGGTGACAATGTGATTCTATTTTAGAAAGTGCTAAATTCTTATATTGTGTCTTAAATGTGCTTTCACACTGACCACTGGCATCACAGACCACGCGTCAAAGGATTTTAGAGAGAGAGAGAGAGAGAGAAATGGGGTTTAACATCCACTGGACACAAACTAGGTCATTTCGGGACCAACATATGGTTTAATTTTATTTCAATAATTCGCTTGCGCATAGGGGTCTTTAGCAGTGGTAGGAAACCGGAGGACCCAGAGAAAACCCACGAAAATTGGACAGGTGACCTTACTCCTTGTCACGTACAACTGAAGGATTTTAGAAGTTAGCCTAATATTGTACTATTTTTCTTAAAAAAAGCTAATCCATCACTTATTTGACAATAAAGTTCTATCTATAGTTGTATCTATGAATATGCATATATTTAATCTAATCCATGGCAATAACATCTTTGTGTATTTGTTACTTAAAATGTTCAAAATTCTATATTAAATCACTGAACATTTTTAGTGTTGCACCTAACGATATCAACCAAATGAACAATTATATTAATTCACTGTGGGGACCTCAATATAACTCTGGTGACACTATAAGGGATCAGCATGGTACTCAACAAGAGGTGTATTACCGAAACCCTAAAACTGTTGGTTATAATGAAGTCCCGGTATAGTTCCACCACAAGATGATAATGTTTATTCTAACGATGATAACATGAGTAATTGTTTCAACACTTTAGTCTGACTCGTCTCTCGTATTTCTCCTGCTAAAAACATCTCATCTACAACACTATACACCTGTAATATACAAAATATACAATATATGACACCTGTAAATATACACTATACACCTGTAATATACAATATATGCTTGATAACACATGTAAATATATAAAATATACAATACATCTACACTGTAACCCAGGTATCAATTAATCTTGTGCATCTAGCACTAATTTCTTTCACATATGTTTAATATCAAATCTTTGTTTAAAAATTCATGAAAATCATTTAAAATCACCAAAAATCATCTAATTTGTACTTGTGTCCAGTTTAAAGCTGAATGATTAATTTTGATAATGAGTGTCCAATTTACAAGTATTTAATTTCCTGACCATTATACGTCATTAATCAATTGGGTTGTTTATTTTTTAACGGTGAGTGAGAAATTAAACACTTGTAAATTGGACACTCAGTATCAAAATTGAATGGTCAGCGTTAAACTGGACACAAGTATACAGAATGTAGGCCAACTAGTGAAATATTGTTGAAATATTGTGGGTATAATATAGATAATACTGACTGTCTGATTGCTATCTATAGAAATACAATGCCTGGCATAATCTATACTATTATCATTTCAAAATTAAAATATAATTATTTTTATATAGTTTATATATATGACCACATAAGTCTATGTTTGCACACAAATACTTGTGAACTCATTTTATGTCACGTGAAAGCGGGAAATCAAAACCATACCACTTTGACTTGACTCAGTGACAGACCATCTGATACAACGTGCACATGTTAACCATTCAGTCCCCCCCCCACCCCAACTGCTCAAGAAACAAAGGGCAGCATCCAATCTATGAGGGAGCGAGAGAAATGTGGTTTAACATCCACTCGACAGAAACTAGGTCATTTCGGGACTAACATATGGTTCATTTTTATTTCAATAATTCACTTGCGTGTAGGGGGTCTTTAGAAGTGGGAGGAAACTGGAGGACCCAGAGAAAATCCTCGATGTTGGACAGGCGACCTTACTCCTTGTCATGTATAACAGGAGAATTGAAACCATGTCAGTTGACTCAATGACAGACCTTATTATACAGCACGCACACGCTATACATTCGGCCATCCGACCCTCTCTAATTAATAGTTACTGTGTTTAATAATTTATTCATATCACAAACTTACCTTATAAAAGTTAAATACTAGATCTAATTCACAGACATTATGGAAAAATTCATTCAAGACTTCAACAAAGTTGTGTATGGCTTCTAAATATGCTAAGTTGTTGTCATTTACATCCACACAGATGCAGAAATATAAACCAGCATATCGACGATAAACTATTTTAAAATTACGGAACTGAAAGACAGAAAAAACATTGATGATAATAATAATGTATATTTGCAAAGCGCCAATCTATCCAAAAATGCATGCTCTAGACATAGTACTCTGTGGTCACTATTTACAGGGGAGCTGGAACGGCGCGGGGGCCAGGGTACCAAAATATAGGTGGGGTCCGAGGGGGTGGGGTCAGGGTCTCCCCATCTCACCTCTAGAAAATTTTAAAACTTGTCATTTCCGAGAACGCTGTTTAGAGCGTCTCTAGCATTCCAAATTCCAACATAAAACCCTTTACATTTCATGATAATGAAAGAGACAAAAGCCTGATTATCCAGAATTTTCGTATCATGAGCAATTCATCTCATAAAAAATTCTTTTTAATTTGACATTCAATACACCAATCTTCATCAAGAAAATAGAATAAGATTTAGAGACACGATTCCTGCAAGAGCTCATATTCAGGAGCAAGTGTTGACAAGACACTATAATGAGACTATAATTAGGGCATGGGTATACATGTATACCCCAGAAAAGGGTAGGGTACCATTTGTATACCCTGGTACCCGGCACCCCTGACTATTTACACACATATCTCGATCCATTCTAGATAAATTGAACTGGTAAATAGTTCTAGTTTTGTTTTAAAAGATTCAAGTGATGGAGTTGTTTTAAGGTGATAGGGTAAAGAATTCCAGAAAATAGGAACATAAAATGAATAGTCAGCTAATCAATAAGACTTTCTTTTAACATGCTATAGAATGGACACACTGATCAGCAGTGAATAATCACTAGGTAGGCCGCTACAACAGTCACTGATAAGGATGACATTGATGCGACTTAATGAGCCCCAAATATTAACTTTTTCCTCCGACAAATTAAATTCTAAATTATTTTTTTTTCATGTAATAGAAAAATAAATAAAGATGTTTGAAGTATTTGTAGATAAAAATTATATCCTATTTAGTGTAAATGGGTAGTAACGTCTTATGTAAACAATGCACGCGCCATTGAGCCAATGATTAACACCGCAAAATGTGATATCTCGGGTTGAAGGCAGTCATCTTTTACAGAGATATTGAAATACTTTCGTAATCCTCTGTGAAATAGATTGTAGAACGGGGTGAAGATGGTTGATGCGAGTTAGGATTGACATTTGAAAAAAGTTCACCTTTGTCAATTTTCTCAAACCAGTTCATACATTTTGATCAATTATCATAACAAAATGCCAGTACATTGCCTTGAACTCAACACAATCTACAGATTTTATTGTGTAAATTAGGTTCCCTATATCAAGTCCGTCACGAGTGGTCACGGTGGCTAAGTGGGTAAGATGCTGACACGCTAGCCCGGAGGTCGGGTGTTCGATCCCTGCATTGGCCAAGAAAGTTCATCCAGATTTCCCCTTGTCATTGGTGCAGGACGGAGGGCCTGACAAGGACTGCGGTCTAGTAATTCGAATGGGATGAAAAACCGAGGTCAAGTGTACACATTGGCATGCAAGTAAAATGACCCCCCGAATGTTTGAAATTCGATATAAGGCTGTAGTGCCGCTGTCCGGGCAAAATTTCCCTCATAGCACACTATATGCAGTATGCCTGTCTTCATTAGACCAGTTCGGAGCAGAACAGTAGCACGTTAAACCCCATTTCATTTATTTTCAAGTCAACTGTCACCCTGTTCTATGATATATGTACTACTATCTTTAATAGAAGGCTAAACCTCTGCACAATATTTGACTTGGCTACCAGAATAGTAATTACTAAATTAACTTCATAGTTATACTACATAAATCATGTACATGTAGTCCTACCTCTACAAAGTTAGTGTGTTTAGCATCCCTGACAGTGACGACAGCATGGACTTCTTCAATTAGCTTCTGTTTCTCATCATCATCAAAATGCATGTACCACTTAGCTAGCCGAGTCTTGCCAGCCCGGTTCTGAATCAACACAAATCTAATCTGAAAATCAAAACATAGGTTTATAATCATAAGCTATGATGGAATGGAATTATTTGTTGTTACCATGGCTTGAGAGAGAAATTGTGTTTAACGTCCACTAGACACAAAAGTCACAAACCATGTCATTTTGGGACAAACATATGATTCAATTTTATTTCAATAATTCGCTTGCTCGTATGGGTCTTTAGCAGTGGGGGGAAACCGGAGGACCCGGAGAAAATCCATGAGGTTGGACAGGCGACCAACCCTACTCCTTGTCACGTAGGACAACCAGGGAATCGAAACCACGCCAGTTGACTCAATGACAGACCTTATGATACAATGCGCACACGCTAACCATTCCCCTTCCAACCCCTGTTAACATGACTTGATGAAATGAAATGTGGTTTGGTCGTAATATATCAGGTCAGGCCTACTTTTCTGCTACGAGTACGACCTACTCTTTTATTGATTTCCAACTGCACGCCAATGTGTACAGGGGACTTCATGATTTTTTGTCCCATCCCAATGACTAGACACTAGACAAGGGGAAACCATGCTGGACATGAGTTCCATGACCAAAGAATAGCGTGTAGTGACAGTTGCTGATGGCAGAAATAGAGAAATCAAGTCTTCAAGAGAACACCTGCCAGAATATCATGGTGTAAAAATCTACATAGCAGGTTTTTATCATTACACTTTTTGCAATTTCTGAACAAATAGATTCTCCTCCACAAGACCGATTGAAAAACTTAAAAATTATCTTATCAAAGATAAATATTACCATTTTTATCAATACAATTCACTAATTTTATGTTGACACCGGTCTCCTCCCCTTCTACACGCATGCGCATAGTGTAAATGATTAAGACATCCGGTTTTATTGCGCATGATCCTTCAATGATTTCTTTTTATTACCGAAGCATGTGGATTTGTTTTGAAACGTTGTAATCTGACTTTAGACACATTAAATGACAATCAGATATGGACAGAATTGAAGAAATACGCTCAAGAGTTGCATTGCATGAATATGGAATCGACAACGTATGTTTAACAAGTTTTAATAGCGCTGTTGTCTGTTGACAACAATTTTCAATGATTGTATAGGGAGGGTGGGGTAGGGTAAATGACGAATGGAACTGCTTATATAGGTACACTATGTCATCAGGTGTAAGTGATTGTAAAAGGATATAAAAAAAAATCATTGATTATCATTTCTGTATTTTAAGTAATTGAGTGTAGTTTTATTTTATTCTAACAGCTACGTGGATAACTGCAATTTTCAAAACTCATGGCTAACCCTTAAATTTATAACTGCATGATTTTTCATTTTCCTTTCAGTGTAGGCTGTCCTATTTGTGAGTAATATCAATACTAGGTAGATTCTAGGCTCTAGCAAAAATCAAACTTGTCTGGTTCGATCAATTTATGAATGCATTTTAAAATTAACTCGGTGCAACTACCTGACATGTAGGCCTACTGCACGTGTATTAATAAAGAATATCTAGGTTTTGACAGCTGACTGGAATCTCCCCCCCCCCCCCCCCCTTATGAAGCTACATGTATAGCCATATCAAACCTCCCTGAGATAACGTGTCCCCTTTCTGATTGATGTTAAAGTGCAATTATATCTCTTGCACATTATTTGCCCAACCTGTGCTGGAGGCTGGTCTGTCCGCCAATCCTACCCTGCCTGGAAAATTCTTGGTGCAGTTACTGAAATATTAATAGTTGTACCCATTCTAATTTAAGGTCCACACTACAGATTTTCCAGGAAATTATGCCGGCTATGATGATTCATGGAGTCAAGAAAAGTTTGAAAAGGTAAACATACATGTACATACATAGATAAGTTTGTATCAATTGATGATTGTAATTAATCAAATCTGTAAACTTTGATTCCTACTCAGTAGAAAGATTGCAATGCAGATCAGTCTCGCCACTCCTGAACATTATACAGTATTTGGATTTGAATCTCCCCATGATTAAGGTGCTATGCATGTAGCTGACTCACCAGGAGGTTCGTGGTCTGATCCCGGTATTGACTGAGAAAGCTCTTAACCTTGTAAGTCGTGTCAAGTGGATGTTAAACCCCATCTCTCTCTCTCTCACACACACACACACACACACACACAAAACACCTTTTGCTTGTAATTGCAGCATGAATCAAATATACAATGTATGTTCATTAAAACCACTCTTGTCCTACATATAATGCTTTGATAATGAGAATAATGATACACAGCACTATTAATAAGTGCAGGGGGACTGCACCACGCATAATTTACGCAAAAAAACAAATATACGGACAAGACATAATACGCAGAAATCACAAACAAACGCACAATTCAAATAAAGTGAATGGATCCGGGGGCTAGCCGTAAGTGTTCACGGGCCTGTAGTGACTCAACAGATACTTTATTTCTAGGCTTTGTAAGCTGAGTTGATTTTGTTTAGGCCTTGATTTAATACATGTACATGTAGCAGTTTAAATCAGTATTATTAGTATTGACAAACATTAATCTGTTCTTTTTTTAGAATTTCCGTATTGATGTAAAGAAGTTAGATGGAGATGAATTAGAGTTTGATATGATTGGAATTGATGCTGCCATAGCCAATGCCTTTAGAAGAATATTACTAGTTGAGGTGGGTACCAGAAAGGGAGTAAGATCCCCTGGCATTTGTGACTTATACACCTTTTAAAGTTTAAAGGACAATATTGGTGCCAGTCATTATCACATATGTGATAGAGCTGGTTAAACATATTCCAAATATAATTTTAACACAGAGATCATTGCTATGATAGCTGAGTAATCAGGGCTTGCCACGAGCAAATTGGAGGCGAGTAGATGACTACTCACGCAAATATAGACTTGCGCGAGTGAGGCGAGTACATGTATTTACTCACGCAGAATGATGTGCATGAGTAGCCATTTAAATTTCATGTGCCTAATGGCAATGCTCTTGGCACTTGGGTGGAAGCGGACGTTGAATAAAGCTATTTCACACACAATGACAATGCATACTCTTTTATTTCCTTGGCAAAAAAAAATATCTGTAAATCGTCTTCCCATGACAAGAACGTTGCAGGGGAAACTTGGCTTCCCTTTGCCATCGTTGGCGTGCTGAGGGGATTCGGGTAAAGCTTAGAAAGGTAAAAGAACAGGCAAAACAATTTCAATCCCATCAATTTGCAGAAAAGATGCGGGATCGAAAGAATTGCTATTAATAGAAACGACAACATCCGCTCAATGTTTGATTATCCAGACACGGCAAAGGACATCCGCTTAAAAACCGCCTGGCAGTACGCGTCTCAAAGTATTTTTAGTAACAACAGTTGGCACTGGAAAGACACGCCGCGTGCGCAATAGTGCATCGATATGAAGGCATACAAATTGTTTACGATATTCAATTATTTCTGATTAAATTATTTTTTATATTTGCGCGAGTACTTAATCACTCACGTAAATTTGGTTTTACGTGAGCGTAGCGTGCGCGTAAGTAATTACTCGCTTCTAGTGGCTAGCCCTGAGTAATACAGGTTTCCCAAATCGAAAGTGACGAACGCCAAAGGAAAACACGAGTAATCTCTCTATATAACTGACTGATGTGACGAGTGATAACAGATACACGGCCGAATTTCTGCTCACTAATAATTCCTTCTAAGACCAAAAGTTGCTGTGTGAGATTGTGAGAGGATATCTGACAATTCATAAAAAGAAATGACTGCCACTCGATAAGTGAACACAAAAGAAAAACAGAAAAAGTCCGTGTATTACCATGTTTATATAAGGTATAGAATGAATATAAACAAGGGAATGTACGGACTATTTCTATTTTTCTCGTGTTCTCTTATCTAATGACATTCAATGTCATAGATATACCAGCAGACAATTTTTATTTTTAGAAGTGGGGTTTGATATCTACTCAACACAAACTAGGTCATTTCGGGCCTAACATGTGTTTTAATTTTATTCCAATAATTCAATTGCTTTCAATAGCAGTGTGAGTAAACCGGGCGGGGAATCGAAACTACACCAGTTGACTCAATGACAGACCTTATGATACAACGCGCACGCCACATCACTGAGCCACAGCACTTTACACGTGGTTAATTAAAGTTCCCCCATAACATATTCTTGTGTGGCCATAACAACTGGCCCATCGGAACGAAATTCAGATTTTTGTGGGTGTCAGAGTAGTGAAGCCAAAATGGGGGCCTGGGGACTAGCCTCAGGGATAATTTTGACACTAACAAAAACATATTGGCCAATTATTTGGAGAGACCTCATAATTTCGTGCTTTTAATAAAATAATCATATAGTAGTGTTACTTTCTAATTGCCACTTGATTTATATCTATTGTTTTATTTATGAATTTATATTTTGTGTAATGCAGGTACCGACAATGGCTATAGAGAAAGTATTTATGTATAATAATACTTCTATAATACAAGATGAAGTATTAGCACATAGATTAGGTCTAATACCCATCAGAGCTGATCCTAGATTATTTGAATATAGGGCTGAAGGTAGGTATTTAATAAATAATATCACATGGTTGTATGACAATTACATCACCAAATTATTGTTTTATAGGGGGGTGGGGGTGAATGGTTAACGCATGTGCGTTGGATCAGACGGTCTGTCATTGAGTCAAGTGGCGTGGTTTTGATTCTCCACTTGAACGTGACAAGGAGTGGGCTTGCCTGTCCACCCTCCTGAGTTTTCCCCGGGTCCTCCGGTTTCCTCCCACTGCTAACAAACCCTACACGCAAGCGAATTATTGAAGTTGAATTGAACCATATGTTGGTCCCAAAATGACCTAGTTTGTGTCGAGTGGACGTTAAACCTCATTTCTCTCTCACTCTCTGTAATTGGGTCCAATGGTGTGGTTTCTATCCCAAGCTTGAAAAGAAGTAGGGTAGCCTGCTCAACCTGGTGGGGTTTCTCCTGGTCCTCTAGTTTCCTCCCACTGCTAATGAATTATTGAAATAAAATTGTATCAATGTTAGTCTCGAAATTACAGAATGTGTGTCGAGTGGCTGTTAAATCCCTTTTACATCTCTCTCGTATTCAGGAACCATGATTTTTGTTGTTACTGCTGATTGGCTGGTGTAGATAGTGTGCTGACCAATGATAGCTCACTATATCAATAGCCCACAGTAAGTGTCATGCATTAATAATGGAATGTTGTTCCTTTATATATTTTACAGGTGATATGGAAGGTACAGCAGAAGATACAATAGAATTTCAATTGAAAATTAAATATTACTTTATAAATTACAGGTGATATGGAAGGTACAGCAGAAGATACAATAGAATTTCAATTGAAAATTAAATATTACTTTATAAATTACAGGTGATATGGAAGGTACAGCAGAAGATACAATAGAATTTCAATTGAAAATTAAATATTACTTTATAAATTGCAGGTGATATGGAAGGTACAGCAGAAGATACAATAGAATTTCAATTGAAAATTAAATATTACTTTATAAATTACAGGTGATATGGAAGGTACAGCAGAAGATACAATAGAATTTCAATTAAAAGTTAAATGTTACTTTATATATTTTACAGGTGATATGGAAGGTACAGCAGAAGATACAATAGAATTTCAGTTGAAAGTTAAATGTTCTAGAAATAAAGAAGCTAAAGAGGCAACTGCTCCTGATGAAATGTATAAAGATCATAAAGGTACATAAACTAACCAAGGGGCCGCAGTGGCCTAGTAAGTTAGGTGCTGGCTCGCTTACCTGACAGTCCTGGGATCTATCCAGGTGTCAGCTGGTGTAGTTTTGATTCCCCCGGTTGTACATGACAAGAAGTAGGGACGTCTGTCCAACCTCGTGGGTTCTCTCCCATTCCTCCGGTTACCTCTCATTGCGAAAAACCCCTACGCGCTAGTGAGTTATTGAAATAAAATTGAACCATATGTTAGTCCAGGTGTTGGTCAAAAAAATTTCTCAGAATTTTCCAGAGTGGTTTTCCCTTTGTCAGTTGTCCAGGGTGGAGTGCCTTGCAAGAAACAGTGTATAGTCATTTGGATGGGATAAAAAAACTGAGGTCCTGTGTGCATATTGGTGTGCACGTAAAATAACCCTTGGCAGTTGGAACTTGATAAAAGAGTAGGCCGTAGCGCTTCTTTTGGGGTAAAATGTCTCTCATTACACACTGTATGGCATATGCCTGTCTTGATGATTCATTTCGTTGCTAGGGAGGTTGGACAGCCAAATGGTCTAACGAGTAAGGTTTAGATCATAAGGCCTGTCATTGAATCAAATGGTATGGTTCTGATCCCACACTTGTCACAAAGAGTACCATAATTATGTTAGTCCCAAAATGACATAGTTTGTGTTGAATGGACTTTAAGTCCTCCCTCTCTCTCTCTCTCTCTCTCTCTCTCTCTCTCTTTTTCTCCATCATTCAGTCCCATTTTTAAACACACATCAAAGTGATCAAACTTTTGTGGTAGTAGTGCCTTTTGATTTGGTTTTGAGACGATTTAAGATGATTGCTGAACATTTGCCTATAGCTGTTTATTTCTGGCGTTATTGTTGTATTTGGTTATTTTTTCAGTAACAACAAAATATTTAAAATGGGTACCTGTAGGAAATCAGTCAGAAATAGTAAGTAAATAAGATTAGCAAAATATATTTGATAGAGCAATGTATGAACTACAGGGATGGTATATTGATAAATACTGTATCATAATCAGCGCTACTCATCTGGAATGATTCTACTATGTATTGTAGGGGCTTGGATGGCTGAACCGAATGGTTAGCATGTGCACGCTGTATCATTAGGCCTGTCATTGAGTCAACTGGCGTGGTTTCGAATCCCCAGTTGTACGTGACAAGGATTAGGGTTGCCTGTCCAACCTTGTGGGTTTCTCCGGGTCCTCCAGTTTCCTCCCACTGCTAAAGACCCCTACGCACAAGCAAATTATTGAAATAAAATTGAACCATATGTGATAGTCCCGAAACGACCTAGTCTCTCTCTCTCTCCCTCCCCCCTCTCTGGTATCTCAAGATACATGTATAAAGGCAGTTTATTGTAAGAAGTGGAAAATTGGTAATATATCAAAATTTATCATACATTTAATTTTGCTTTAATCAATGATCATATATCAGCTATTTGCGAACTGGGAGATTGGAAAGAAATTGATCGTACATTTTTGTTTGTTTTAATTTCAAGTTTAAAGAAGGTGATATAAAACCTGTACATGATGATATACTTATAGCTAAATTACGACCAGGACAGGTAAATATTGTTTAACATTAATAGCTAAATTACAACCAGGACAGGTAAATATTGTTTAACATTAATAGCTAAATTACGACCAGGACAGGTAAATATTGTTTAACATTGATAGTTAAATTGTTTAGCATTTTATTAAAATGGCTAATTTATACTGGTCTTCATCAATCTGATTGGTGTGAAAAGGTAGGAGTTAAGCTTAAAGAGGACTGATGTATGACTTTAGATCATAAGGTCCGTCATTGAGTCAAGTGGCATGGTTATGATCCCACAATTAGAGTGGTTCAATGGTCACTTATTTGTCCTTATATAAACATGCACAGGTCTCTGCCTGACTGCATCATTGGGGATATTTTATGAAGTGAGCAATGTTTAGCCCCGCGTTGGAGGTCGCAGCAAATACACGTCACAAAAAGCTTTCCACGTGGTATTAAACAAACATGTATTGGTATATAAAGCCAAGTAAAAATACTAACAGAACACAGTTTTTATGGGATACAATCACTAGTTTATTCTAAAAGCACGACGTTTCGACAAGTATCCTCTTATTGTTAAATATTTGCTAGCTCTAAATACGCAGAACTATTTGAGACCGAAAAATAACCGAAACAAACTTTTTAGTGGTAGTCTTTATTTTCCAGACACTTTTCGGTAACTTGGTGTAAATTACTTTCATAATCATAGTATCTTATTTAATTATTCTGTAGCCATAAGCTTTGATCGACGGACTTAGTTTTTTTTTCTAGATCTGAGACTGAGCCCTGCAAGATGACGTCCACCGATGATTTGCTATCCAGCATTGGATTGGTACCCCTATGATCTGAGCACTGTAACCAAACTACCTATGGCAAAAATTACAAATAGGCTTATACTAGGCATTGTTAATAAATTCCCGACAACTACGGAGCATTGGTCTATCATAACTGCTTTACATGACGACTGTGTGACGTTTGGTGACAATTACATTAAAAATAGACTGGTCAGACTGAAGACAAAGACTAGGAAGCTGGGTAAAAGTAAGGCCAAGTCCAATAGATGTATGAAATCATACAACGATTTTCTTGACACCCCATTTTTTCCCGGGATAGTGGACGAGACTCCATCGGCAGATACTAGTGAAATTAATTTAATAAATAGAGAGACTCAGACATCTGCCGATGCGACCTTGACTGATTTAAATAGGAAAAATAAGTGTCATAAAAGCACAATCGCTCAGTTAAAAAATCGACTTCGGAAGACTAAAAAAGAAATGATCCGCATGAAGCTAATAATGAAAATAAAAAACAATTCGCAGGTAAAAATAAGTGGTTGCAAGTCCAAACCTTTTAGGAAGAACGAAGTAATTTTGTATGATGTCGAAAATGAAAGATACACAGCAGAATGCCATAATTTGGTCATGGAACTTAAAAATCTAAACGTTTCGAATGGTAACATAGCAGCGGTTATAACCGCATGTTTGGATGTCGCGGGACTAAAATCTAATTACACTCCATCAAAATCTACAGTTCAAAGAATATCATGTGAGCGCGTCGGTGTATCTTTAAAACATGTTTCAGAAACCCTAAAGTCGGCGAAAAATACCACCCTATATACAGACGAAACTACAAAATTTGGCTCTAAATTCGGCACATACGCAATAACCGCTGACTCGACACATACGCCACTTATTCTTGGTCTTCGTGAAATGGCTGATAAATCTGCGCAAACTACATTAACGACATTAACCAAAATTTTGGCAGATCTGGACGAAATTGCTGGACCATTTAGTAAATCCGTTATTTTCGAAATTAAAAATACCATGTCAGACAGAGCCAGCACCCTTACTTCGCAGCAAGGAAATAAACGATGTTTTCCGACTGCGATAATGAAATTTCGTTTCAGGGGCTTCTGTACCATTTTTACCGTGACCAAGGGACATAACTCTTATTCTCACTAAGAGTTATCTGCCTTGATTATTTAATCCGGGTAGATTTTGAGGCATTTATAACATATTTGCAAATGGTTATATCCTCAAAAATCAAATGTTGTCAGACTTACATTGTTGATGAATGGAGTTTTTATGTTAAGTCTTATCATATAATGTTAAAATAATCCCGAAATAGTGTCTGTTTGTTGTTAAAAAAATTGAGTATGAACCACTCTACCACAATGATTAGTCTGGCAAACCATCCTCCTGTTTCCTCCCACTGCTGCATGAAGACCCCCCATGCTAAAGCAAATGATTGAAATAGAATTGTTAGTCCCATAATGAGCACTATACCCCATTTCTCTATATTTATATTTTCAATGAAAAAGAGAGGTTGCAATAGATGAACTAATTTAGCTATACAGAACTTATCTTCAAAATGGCCAAAACTTTATGATTATGGTTGTCTTCTTGTGTAGGGTGGGTTGGGAGGCTGAATTGTTAACGTTTGCCCGTTTGATCACAAGGTCTGTCATTGAGTCAAGTGCTGTAGTGTCATTTCCCCGCTTGTACGTGGCAAGGAGTAGGGTCGTCTGTCCAACCTCGTGGTTTTCTCCAGGTCCTCCGGTTTCCACCCACAGCTAAAGACCCCCATGCATTGGCGAATTATTGAATAACATTGAATCATGTTAGTCCCGAAATGACCTAGTTTGTGTCGAGTGGAAGTTAAACCTCTCTCTCTCTCCTGTAAATTATTTACCTCGCTTGTTTGTAGTGTGATAAATCTTTTGTACTTTGACATTTATTGCTCATTATCATATCTTTTTAGGAAATGGACATTACAATGCATTGTGTAAAAGGTATTGGTAAAGATCATGCAAAATTTTCACCTGTCGGTAAGTTAACAATCTAGTCGTTTGGATGGGAAGACAAACCAACGCCCTGTATACACGTTGTTGTGCACGTAAAAGAACCCCTGACAGTTGGTATTTGATAAAGGAGATGAAATAATTATATTCGTTGTATCTGACAATATATCAGACAATAAAAAACTGGTTTCTGACATTTTGAAATGAAAAGAAATTTGGTTTAACGTCCTACTGTTCTCCTTCGAACTGGGCTAATGAAGACGGGCATACGCCATACAGTATGTTATGAGGGAAATTTTGCCTGGACAGCGGCACTATGGCCTACTCTTTTATCGAATTTCAACTGTCAAGGGATCTTTTACGTGCACGCCAATGTGTACATGGGACCTCTGTTTTTCGCCCCATCCGAACGGCTAGACAGTTGTCCTTGTCAGGCCCGCCGTCTTGAATCACTGATAAGGGGGAACCACGTCGGAAAATCTGGATGCACTTTCATGGCCAATGCAGGGATCGAACACCCAACCTCCAGGCTAGCGAGCCAGCCTCTTACCCGCTTCGCCACCGTGACCCCCTGACATTTAAAACACTAATCCAAGACAAATCTGTTCCGGACAAAATGTCAACCAACAGAGGGATTGTGCCTGACAAAGTTTGAATTTGCACCCAACAATGTCAGACAGACACACAGACTGACTAAGGAAGTTCCATTTACCCTTGTATTTAAAAGATGATGATCAGCATGAAGGGATTTGATGAACTGTCGCATCGACACAAAGATAATATACACGTTTATACATTTTAAAGGTGGGTTGGATGGCCGAATGGTTAGCAAGTGTGTGCTGTATCATAAGACCTGTCATTGAGTCAACTGGCGTGGTTTCGAATCCCCGGTTGTACGTGACAAGGAGTAGGGTCGCCTGTCCAACCTCGTGGGTTTTCTCCGGGTCCTCAAGTTTCCTCCCACTGCTAAAGACCCCTACGCGCAAGCGAATTATTGAAATAAAATTAAAAACCATATGTTAGTCCCGACATGACCTAGTTTGTGTCGAGTGGACGTTAAACCCCATTTCTCTCTCTCTCTTATACATTTTAAAACAACTAATATTTAGATACTTAAACAGGCATTATGGGAGAATAGATAAAGAGCTGGCAGTTCTCACTATAATAGTTAAAAACCAGATAATGTAAAGGCAATTTGCTGAAAATTTCAGTCAAATTAATCCACCCTGAACTTTTGAATTTTAGGCTAGCCTCTATCATCATTACTAAAGTCGGTACGATAAAAAACAAAGTCTTGATTATCCATTTAAACGTTTAATCATCCTTCACCAAATATATTCCAATCCGCTAAATATTTCAGGCTAGCTATGACATCGAGAGTTGATTATAGTCTGGATAAGTTAGTTAATGTCTAATTAATAATTTAGATATTTACATTTCAGGCCTAAAGAAAGACCTGCAATAGGCAGATTTAGCTCTTGCATAATGTATGTTTAAAACAAAAACCCAATTTATTTATATTTTCCATGTTTACAGCTACAGCATCCTATCGTTTATTACCAGAAATAATATTAACTGAACCTATAGAAGGTGAACGAGCTGAAAGATTACAAACATTATTTTCACCTGGTGTTATACAAGTAGAAAATCGGAAAGGTAAAACTTTTTGGGTGAATTTATTTAAATAAATTCTTTTAACAAATCCAAATCATAATGATAAAACTAATACAGACTTTGAAATTTATTTAAATAAATTCTTTTAACAAATTAGGGGGGTTGGATGGCTGAATGGTTAGCGTGCGCGCGCTGTGTCATAAAGTCTGTCAATGAGTCGACTGGCGAGTAGGGGCGCCTGTCCAACCTCGTGGGTTTTCTCCGGGTCTTCCGGTTTCCTCCCACTGCTAAAGACCCCTATGCGCAAGCGAATTATTGAAATAAAATTAAACCATATGTTAGTCCCGAAATGACCTAGTTTGTGTCGAGTGGACGTTAAACCCCATTTCTCTCCCTCTCTCTCTTTAACAAATTAAAATTGTATTGATAAATCAAATAAAACGTTGTTTGAAATTTATTTAAATCTCTTCTTGTATTGAATTAAAATCATAGAGATGAGCAAATTATTTGAAATTTATTTAAACCATAAAGATTAGTATATAGAATTTTTCTAATTAAATTATACAAAACAGTGAAACTGGTCTCAAGCTGTACTCATCTTATTGTTCTTTTGCTTTGGGGTCTAGTGTTCGATTCCTGCGGTGGTCTTGTTAGTGGTGCAGGGCGTCGAGGTCCCACAAACACATTGGTATGCACATAAAAGAACCCTTGGCAGTTGGAATTCGATTTAAGAGTTTCCCTTATAGCACACTGTTTCATTAGCCCAGTTGGAGCAGCACAAATAGGATGATAAACCCCATTTCATTTTGTTTTCTTGGGAGGCGACACACTTCAAAAAAAAAAAAAAAAAGCCTACAGCTCCACCAATTCAAGAACGTGGCATGCTTGTTTCTTGAACAATTGTGCGTCGATTGAAAGACTTTGATTTTTGATATGATGTCAAAATTCCAAAAATTGCGACGATGACATCGCTATTCCAAGATGGTTGCGATGACACCATGCTCTGTTTCTGGTTCATAATAGTACTATCGTCAAGTTGCAGTTTACATGTACCAGTATATATTGGACGACTATTGTGCATAGTGGCTCTATTTTTAGGATAGTCTCCAACCTTGTGGGTTTTCACCAGGTCCTCTGGTTCCCTCCTACTGAGGGGGGTTGGATGGCTGAATGGTTAGCACGTGCACGCTGTATCATAAAGTCTGTCATTGAGTCAACTGGCGTGGTTTCGATTCCCCGGTTGTACGTGACAAGGAGTAGGGTCAAATGTTTTCCTCTCACTGCTAAAAAATCCCTATGGGCCCAGAATGACCTAGTTTGTGTCGAGTGGACATTAAACCCCATTTCTCTCTCTCTATCTCTAAAATCCTTTGAGGCATGGTCTATATGATGCCAGTGGTCAGTGTAAAAGCACATTTAAGACACAATATAAGAATTTAGCACTTACTAAAATAGAATCACATTGTCACTATCGTGAAATGACCTAATTTGTGTCGAGTGGACGTTAAACCCCATTTCTGTCTCTCTCTCCCTCCTACTGCTACAGACCCCTACGCACTAGCGAATTATTGAAATAAAATTGAACCATGTTAGTCCCAAAATGATCTAGTTTGTGTCTAGTGGACAATGAACCTCATTTCTCTCTCTTGATAGTACACTTATATTTTACAGGTAAAAAGCGAGCAAAAGTTGTTCATCCTAGAAGAGATATGTGTAGCAGAGAAGTGTTTCGACATGACGATTTAAAGGAGTGTGTTAAATTAAATCGTGTCCGAGATCATTTTATATGTAAGTTTGTATTATTATTAATTTGAATTATTTCATTATTTCATACTCTTTACCAGTTCATGGTGCATATTCATCGAATGAGCTTCCTCAACAGATGTGCTCGACAATTCTATTTTCAAGTTTTAAGACAACACTAAAGGCACATCTGTTTACCAAATATCTGTGCAAGAACAAATAGTTGACCTCGCTGTGAAGGGCTTAGAAATGACCAGCGGACATAATTTAGCGCTATATAAGACAATTTATTATTATTATTATTAAGTTAAAAGACTTGTTTTACATCACTGCCTCTTGTCTGGTTAAGCTGAAGCAGTCCAGCACATTTTATCTTCCAAACCCCGCCTTCTCCCATAAGAAAAAGTTGATAGCCTAAAATAGTGCCTGTTAAAGATACACTGTCCCGAAAGTATCGGGTGGTTATTTCCAATAAAAGTATGGCAAATTTGGTATATATGGAAAATATAGATGCCCAATATTACTAGAAAAATACTGGATTACCCGAAAAACACCCACGGGGCAAGCACTGGGCAAAAATGTCAGGGTGTCACTAACTGGCAACCCGACTGTTGTCAGCCAGTTTATTGTGTGCTAGTTTGACTGAGGGAGCGGTTGTTATTTCTTGTTCAAATGGTTAGGCGGTGTTGGGAACATTGTGGGGTGTCAAAGTACAAAAGACTCTGCATTTAAACGACAGAAAAAGAAGTTGACAGAAAATAACTAAGAATTTACTTGATCCTCAATATTATTTGTAATCTGTCTTTTTCTGTTTTCTTCAAGTTTCTGTAGAATCAACAGGAATTCTCCCACCAGATGTTCTGGTCTGTGAAGCAGCCAAAGTTTTGATGGCGAAAACAAAAGCTTTTTTAATAGAATTACAAGATGTGGAAATTGGTGGTAGAAAAGACACTTGATAATAAAATATTTGTACATTATTGATTATTAGTCGTTTTTTTATTTTTCTTCCTTTCATTTCTGTATTTTAAAATAAATTATCATTTGAGATAAGGGATCTGAGAACAACTCAAATAATATGAAATGGGGTTAAACGCCTTACTTTTAGGTACCAACTGGTCTAATTAAGACAAGCATATGCAATAGGGGTTAGCCGAATTGTTAACGTGTGCGAGTTGCATCATTAGGCCTATCATTGAGTCAAGTGGCGTGGTTTCAATTCCCCTCCTGTACATGACAAGGAGTAGGATTGCCTGTCCAACCTCATAGGTTTTCTCGAGGTCCTCCGGTTTCCTCCCACTGCTCAAGTGAATTAATGAAATAAAATTAAACCATATGTTAGTCCCAAAATGACCTAGTTTGTGTCACGCGGTCGTAAAAGTTATTTCTCTCTCGAATCTCTCATATGCAATGAAAGAAATTTTGTCCAGACAATGGGGTGTCCTCCTCTCTTAATCAAATTCCAACTGTCATGGGTTCTGTGCACAGTTGATGAACATGTACCCTAGGATTTCGTCACAACTGACTAATTGAACACCTTTTCTCATCCCAGCACTTCTGTCCGCTGACAAGGGGGAAACATATGTTTTGAAAAATCGAGAGGAACATTCTTGGTCTACACCGAAATTGAACATAGGATCTCTTCGTTGGGCTAGTTCCAACTACTTGTTTGGCGAGTCTGCACTTACCATAACTGCTGAGCCACAATGGCTCCCAATTAAACAAAACGAAAGAAAAGTTCAAAAGGTAATATCGACAGAACAATTAGCCTACACACAGTCTGTATTAAGTAATGTAACATGAAAGGGAAATCTTCCTTTGTTCTTTTCGTTGAATAAGCAGATTGTTTTGTGTTTAGCAGACTGGCTGGAGCTTAACCTTGCAATAACTAGACATTTCAATGTTATTGCACACTTTTGCTGGTTCGGTTTACTATAGTTTTAGTAGAAATCATATAGAGAAATGGGGTGGGTTTTCTGTGCAAGTACAACGAGCATGTTGAGCCGGTGTCAATGTTACAAGTCATTTTATAGCACGCTTCATTTGTTAACAGGTTTAACACCTCGGTCTACGGCCTCTATGGTTAAACCAGTTAACTCATGAAAGCTGTGCTATAAATATAACATAAACAAAATATAGAATTTGACCTCTCAAGTTGCCCCACCCCACAAAAAAAAACAAAAAACAAAAGTGAAGGTGATTGAGAGTTTAAAATAGGTCATATTGTAAGAATTTCAATGAAATGTATTTCTTTATTTTTCACAGTCCACAGAACAAAAATAATTGTTTCAGTTGATCAATATATAAGAGAAAAAGGTCAAGTCTGGTCTATCAATTGCTTGACAATGAAACAAGGTGATCTTTGATGCAAATAATTATCGGTCTTTAAGTTTATTTAAAGAATTTCTGGGAATAAATTGACTGAAGCTATGTGGAATTTTTTCCGGGTAATTAACACAATTTTTTAAAATGTAAAACTGCAAGATATTTTAAATATATTTAATGGGAGATAACTCTGAATAAGCTTTAACAGGTGACCTTCGGAAGTGATAAAAAATCGACCTCAATGAAAAGCTATGTTTATCCAGACAATTGATAAATCAAAGTTAAACGTTGATCTCATTTGTCTACGATATCACCTTAGGTGGAAGTGGACGTAAAACCCCAGAAACGAACGAACGAACGTTGATCTCATTTTGGAACTATTTTCACAAATTGCACTTAACTGGAATTTTTGGCATTCGATAAATTCGATGTTTGAAGAAGATATTTGACATTTGTATATGGATTAACCATAAAGTATTACCATGAAAGTAATTAATACAAAGAGAGGTTTCCGTGACTGGTATGATCGGAGCTTGTAGCCGGAAGTTAAGAAACACGTGTGTCAAATGCAAGTCACAGAAGTTGGTGAAGTAAACTAACAAAATGGTACTTCAGAGGGTTGTAAAACCCAAAACCCACAAGGGAAGAAAGTTTTTAGAAAATAGAGAACCTAAAATAGAAGAAAATGACAAGGTGGCGATGTTTATAAAAGGAGGAAATACGAGTCAAACAGTTTCACAAGTCCTCAAAGAAATGTACATGTTAAAGAAACCTACTGGCATAATGATGAAACGTAAAAATGTTGTGAGACCATTCGAAGATCAGACGACGTTGGAATATTTTTCAGAAAAAAATGACGCGTCTTTATTTTTGTTTGGATCTCATTCAAAGAAGAGGCCGCACAATTTAGTTTTAGGACGATTCTTTGATCATCATATTTTAGATATGGTAGAGTTGGGCATCGAGAATTTCAGATCCATGTTTGAATTTCAAAATGATAAATGTTCTCATGGCACCAAGCCATGCGTTATCTTCAGTGGACAAGACTTTGAGCAGCTGGAGGATTACGCTAAACTCAAAAGTTTACTTATGGACTTTTTTCGTGGACCTAAAACAGAGAAAATTAGATTATCTGGTTTAGAATTAGTGCTGCAGGTTACAGCTGTTGATAACAAAATTTATTTCAGAACTTTTCGAACCGTACTGAAAAAATCCGGAACTAAAATCCCCCGCGTAGAGTTGGAAGAAATTGGACCATCTCTAGATTGGGTAGTGAAAAGAAGTATGTTTGGTTCTGATGACTTGTACAAAAGGGCAAATAAAAAACCATCTGAGGCCAAAAAGTCGAAAACCCAAAAGAATAAATCCAGAACAAATCTTGGAGATAAAATGGGCAGAATTCACATGCAAAAACAAAATCTTGATACACTACAAACAAGAAAGATGAAAGGGCTGAAAAGAAAGAAGGGAGGTGATGAGGTGGAAGGCGAAGCCGGTGAAGCAAGTGAATCCACAAATGAAAAATTGAGAAAAATGGCTGAGTAATGAAAGAACTGTTAAAAAAAATATTCACCAAGCTTATGTAAATAAAATGACTCACATACATAAAAATTGTCTGTACTACTGTAGCATGTGGATTCACATTCTATTCGACAATCTTTATAAGAAGCTATACCATATATGGGAAGATTACAGAATCAGTATGTCAATATTTTGTAACACTACACTATCTGAGGTTACCTAGACATTTCATTGTATTATGCAATAGGACTATCAGAGTAATCTGTCCGAGTTATACTCCAGGGCCTAGCCGTTTGATTCTACTGATAAAGAATCCTGTGTATGAAGTCAGGGGTGCACAAGAGGGTTTTTTTAGTCCAGATAGGCAAATGGACCATTTTTTTTTTGCCAAGTGGGCCGGGTTTTTTTCTTGGGTAAAATGGGCCAGTTTGCCGGAGTCTCTTACACATTCAATCAAACCAAAATGAGGCGTACAAATCAATATTCTACTGAGTCATTTAAAAATTACATAATGCTATACTTACTAACTAGTTTTGACCTAACTGGGGGTAATAAATTGATTTTCTAATACTGAGTGGGCCGATTTTTTTATCCCCCCCCCGCAGAAAAATATGTTTGTGTGCCCCTGTACGAAGTAAATTATTGAAATAAGGATCTATTGGCTGTTTCTGCAGTTCTTGTGGCAGAGACAGGATTAATGAATAAAAAAATCTAAGCTGTTGTTTATATGACTGTACAAATAAATTGAAAGATAAAAAAAAGCTGAATTATTTGTAAATCGGTGTGATGTATGGTAAAAGAGTATTAAATCGTTGTTAACTATATTTTTAATTGTTTATTCATTCTGTGTCGAATATTAGGGCACTCTAATACTATGATGCCCTGGGTTTGAAATTGGGGCGTGGTAGGTCAGTGATTAATACTCTGGCCCTCTAACCAGGTCTGAGATTCCCCCCCCCCCACCACCACCGCGCACTCTTGGGGTAAAATTCTCCTACCAGAGACCTTTGCGTATAAAAAGTAGGACAAACCCAGCCAAATGTGTAAGTGGTTCTAGAAAATTATAAGTTCTAGTTTACAGGACGGTGTTCCAACCACGAAAGCCTGTGCAAAATGTGTGGATGTTCGAGAATGAAGCCAAGACTCTGGGCTATTTTTATATTATATACCGCGACGTGATAAAAACGAAACGCTGATTTGACCGGAAATGCCCCGAGATATAATGCAACTGAATGTGATTTTTGGCATGATTCAGTAAACAGCGCAGGCCTCCAACCCGAAAATAAAATTGAAAATATCCAAATATAAATTCGGGGAAAAAAAATTGATATGGACCCACTGTGGCAGAGTCCAATACCCCCCCCCCCCCCCCAGTCCAAGAAAAGGTTCCCTTTGACTTCAGTGCAATTAAAACCGCGTTTACATTACAAATTTTAAGCGTACCAGGTACGACACAGTTCGTTTTTATACGCCAACTTGAAAATGTGGTCGTATATTGCCGTCCGTCCGTCGTCCACAATCTCTTGTGATTACTCTACAGACTACATTTATCATCTGATTATTTTGAAATTAATATATGTTGTTTGCATTAGTGAGATAAAGAATCCTATTTAATTTCAATAACTTCCGTTAATTTCTTCTGGAGCTATGGCCCTTGTTTCACTTTGTTGCACCCTGTGTACGCGCTAATGACAACAGTTATCAACTGATCTGTATGGAATTTATATGCATCATTTAAATTAGTAACACAAAGAATCCCATTGAATTTCAGCAATTTCCGAAGAAAACTCTGAATCCGGGGATAAAATTTGATGAGGATCCACTGTACCAGGTCCCCTTGGTCAAAGAAAAGGGCCCCAGATTCAGAAAAGGGTCCAAGTACAGATCCGACACCCCGCCATTCACAGGCCCAGTAGTAGCAATTCTTGATTTGGGGGTGGGGGGGGGGGGTACCATCCTAGGTCCTTAGGCGATGGTCCAGGGGCCGCCGTAGGTTCTTGGGGGGGGGGGGGGGTCTAGATCGTCTGAATCGCTTTCTAGGCTATTTCTGGCTAATATAATGAAGTGAATTTTTTTAACTCCCTTACCATGAAAGCACAAGATATGGTGGTTTAATCCTGTGATGCTGAACTTGACAAAAATATTTATGCATAATAATACCAAGATTGTGGACACTCTAGAGACCACAATTTTTATCCAATTTTGATGAAACTTGAAATGTATGTTTATAATCCAAAGATCGTGTTTGCTTTTGATATTTGCGCACATCGGACTGTAACTTCCTGGATTATGACCCCTGATTTTAGCTAGAAATCAAAACTTGTATTCAATTTTAAAAACCGTTTACATGTATCACCGTTACACATCAATAAAGGTTGAGTTCGAATTTCGTAAAAATCTGACCGAAACTGTCAGACAAAATGGCCGCTTCTTGTACGCAATTAGTGTAAAAGTATATAATACCAAGGTTAATGAAACTTGAAATGTATGTTTATAATCCAAATATCGTGGTTCCTTTTGAAATTTGCGCATATCGGGTCGTAACTTCAAGGATTATGACCCCTGATTGTAAGAAAAATCACGTTTTTGGCTTGTGGACCCTCTAGAGTTAACCATTTTTATCCAAAATCCTTATAAGACATTAGTCCCGAAATGACCTAGTTTGTGTCGAGTGGACGTTACCCCCCTCTCTCTCTCTCACTCTCTCTCTCTCTCTCTCCCTCTCTTATAAGACATAAAGAAATAGATTTCACTAAAAATTAGAACACTTATATGGATGTACTACTTTTGAATTTTATTATCATACAGGTATCGTTATCAAGCAAATAATGATTAGTTAACTACTACTACTACTACCGTCTGCTAAGAATATGATTTTGCAATCTTTCGATTTGCGGACTTCGGCCATGGAGTGGGTTTGGTGGGAAGTTCTTCCCTTTATTTAATAAAAACCGCATTGTTTGGTAGTTGATCTGTCGAGACATCATATATGCTGACCTATATGCGTCTCTTCTTTGGATTGGTGGATGTCATCTTTGTCGGTTTAGTGTTTAGGTGCCAGGCGCGTCTTATCGTGGCCTCCCCTTACTCCACTGTAATACTTTGTTGTCTTTTTAGAGGATTACTCCACTATCCTGCTAATTTGGTATATGTCCCCTATGTAGTTTAGTGCTTAGATGCCGAGCCCGTCTAACCGTGGCCCCCTCTTACTTCACTATTCTACTTAATCCAGCCGTGGTCATTAGATTGTTGATTAGTTCGAAGATTTGCAGCTTCAGATCTGGTCTCGGAAAGAGTAGGTTCTTGTGCTGAGCGGTCTGTTGTTGGTCTCCATCATCACCACTAGCCCCCCCCCCTTCCTTCTCTCCTCCTTGTATACTTCACAGTCTACCAGGACATGGTTGGTGGTACATTCTTCTCCGCACTCACAGACGATGACTTGGTGTTTGAAGTCTCGCAGCCGCTCTTTCACCCTTTATTTTCGATGTAAGTTTGCATATATCTCTTCATGGGTGATTGGTCGATGTCTTTGTGTAGACCTTGTCATCCAGCCGGAATCTGTATGTGTCCAGTTCAACGAGCTTTAGTTCCCAGATTGAGCTGACCTGCCTTTTAACCATATTGTAGATTTCCGGAGTGGAACTGTGTATCACAAAGTATCACAATATCTAACATATAACAATATCTAACATATAACAATATCTCTAACATATCACAATATCCCAAAGTACCACAATATCTAACGCATCACAATAACTAACATATCACAATATATCTAAAGCCTGTCTGACTATATCATCTGCCTGACTATATATATCGTATAAATGTTGTACTGTGCCTATATTTATATATGGTACTGAGACTATGTTTATATATTCTACTGAAATTCTGTTTATAGTTTGAACAGAGGTGTCCTCGATGTTTTTTAAAAAAGATTAAATCTAGTAACTATCCATTTGTTAGAATATACAATATTATTACCATTTCCTTCAATACCAGGTGGGCCATGCCATCTCCTTCAATACCAGATGGACCACCGCCTTTAATATCAGATGGACTACCTCCTTTAATACCAAGTGGACCACCTCATTTAAGACTACGTGAACACATCCTTTAATACTAATTGGATTATCTCCTTTAACACCAGGTGGACCAGGTCTTTTAATACCATATGATCCACCGCCATTAATACCATGTGGGCCATCTCCTTTAATACCAGCTGGACCATCTCCTCTAATACCAACTGGACCACCACCTTTAACACTAGGTGGGCCGTGTCCGTTAATACCTGCTGGGTCATCTCCTTCAATAACATGTTGACCATCTCTCTTAATACACGCTGGACCACCTCCTCTAATACCAGCTGGACCATCTCCTCTAATACCAGCTGGACCACCACCTATAACACTAGGTGGGCCATGTCCGTTAATTGCTGGGTCATCTCCTTTAATAACATGTTGACCATCTCTCTTAATACCAGTGATAATGATCATGTTTTCTGTTTGTTTTCAGAGATCGACGTTTTAAGTTCTATCTATGCGATCGTCCAGAATCATGATTTGGATTTGCGTAACCCTTCCAGAATGATACTTTGCAAGACTCTTTTGGAGAGAATGATAAAATAAAAATGCATTTCAAATTTTTTGTTGTTTTGTTTGTTACCATGGTTCAGGTCAGGCCCGTAGCCAAGGGGGGGGGGGGCCTGGGGAGGCGAAGACCCCCCTGGAAATAATCTTGCCCCCCCCCCCTGACAAAAAGTTGTCGACCATATTTATAAATTACCTATGTATAATAAAAAAAATGTTGATCTATAAAAAATGACAATTTCTTTACTTGAAAGCCCCGGTCCTTGCGTCTATCAATTTTTCAAAATTTTCTAGGGGATGACCCCTGACTCACTTACAATGGCCTTACCTACGTGTGGTACATTGTTCTTGATTTGAATATATTTCTTGAAAAACACTCAAAATAGTTCGTTCTTAGAACATATAATTGTCGATTTCTATGCTTAGAAACTCGTTTACAGCTACTCAATTTTCACAATTTTCCGGGGGGAGACCCCCGTACCCCCTGCTTGCCGGGGGGCGAGACCCCCCGGACCCCTATCGCCGGGGCTGCCCCCCCCCCTGCGCCAGCAAGCTGGCTACGGGCCTGGTTCAGGTGCTACAATTATCTGTTAGCTACGTGAAATCAATTAATAAATAAGGAGATACGCAGTGTTCCGAGAGAGCAAACTTCCACATTGGACTAGAGATGACTGAAATTGATATTTACATCTAAATAATTCAAAGTAGATAATACGTAGTTTAGAAATCGTTTCAATTGATTATCTATATATATATTATTTCCACAAATGAATATAATGTTTCATCTGGAAATCCCATTGTTAATTGGTCCATCGCTATATCCAAACGGCGTTTGAAATATATTTTGCCAAATGTAGAAGTGTTGTTAGTTGTTGAGGGCGAAGTGTTTTTAGATTCTCTCACGAGTACATGTTTGTCCATCGATCTGAGGACGGAGGGCCTGACAAGGACAGCTGTCTAGTCGTTCGGATGGGACGAAAAACCGAGGTCCCGTGTACATATTTGCGTGCACGTAAAAGATCCCTTGGCAGTTGGAATTCGATATAAGAGTAGCCCGTAGCGCCGCTGCCCGGGCAAAATTTCCCTCATAGCACACTGTATGGCGTATGCCCGTCTTCATTAGCCCAGTTTAGGAGCAGAACAGTAGGACGCTAAACCCCATTTCATTTCATTTCATTTCATTTTCCATCGATCTGAAATGTCGCGATACATGTTACAACCACACCACTGGTTACGAAATTGTCGCCAATATAAATTAGGCTTCGGGGTAATACAATAGCAAAATCTATGCCATCCCGAATAACATTTGAAAGTACGGCTTATGTTAGCTATCAATGAGATTTGAGAGTATTTTAGTAGGGTAGAAGGGGATATCATCTGGTTGGAAAACACAGTAATCAACTCGGCATTTTACTGTTTAATGAACTCACTGACCATCTAGGTTTTATGAATTTTTGTATTCGAATTCCTGGAGATAATATGTTGGTTGTCTGTCATTTTGTTCTTGTGGTCTCGCATTAAGCCATTTCTTAAGCCCGCAATTGTAATCTATAGTTACTGTTGTTTATGATCGTTTATGAACAAGTATTGTAAGGTCATGTTTATGAACAAGTATTGTAAGGCCGTGTATATAAACAAGTATTATAAGGCCCTGTTTATGAACAAGTATTGTAAGGCCGCGTTTATGAACAAAACAAGTATTGTAAGGCCATGTATATAAACAAAACATGTATTGTAAGGCCGTGTTTATGAACAGGTATTGTAAGGTCGTTGCTCTTAATTATATATAACATTGGACCTCTATAATTGTCTTATAATTGTTTGATCAACGACTGTTAAAACTGTGAATTGTAACAATACAATATCCTACCTTTGAGATTAAAGTACGAATTTTGTCATTCAAATTACCCCCCCCCCCCCGCTCTCCCTCTTCCCAATGCACAAATACAACATTGAATGAACATTGAGTGTAGATGTGTTTATGTTAATACGAATATACGAATCCCAAATATGACAATCTAAAGAGTGCGATTGTCTTCGCAACATTGACTCGCGTTTTCAAATCCATGACGTAGAAGGAAGTGCGAGACTCCCGGTTGCTTATCTTGGTTCTTTAACGCCTACTTTCACTAGGAGAGCCCACGCTAATTCCTGTATATTTAAAATATGATTTTCCAGTATCACCAGCTTATGGAGTGTATGTGTCTCAGCTAGTTCGATACGCGAGAGCTTGTTGCCTTTATTTTGATATTTTAAGTCATTTGTAATCTAAGCTTCAACTACAGGGATACTTCCCCATTAAACTTATAAAAACCTTTAAAAAGTTTTATGACCGTCATATTGACTTGATTGGTAAATATAACATGTCTCTTTCGGCTGTTATTCTAGATATATTTAATTGACGCGTATACTATCTTCCTGATTATGTATGCTGATTATTTTACCGAGATTTCGTCTAATGGTTTGGATGCAGCTAAGGCGGGTGTGGCGCCAGGCAGGATAAGCTTACTCTTCCTGACACCTGTTACCACTGTTTGTTGTGTATTTTGTACACGGTGAACATTTACTGATAACACTATATTTTGCCTATATTTGGCAATCTTCCCATTTATGGCCTTAGGCCGAGCCTCTCGGACGATATAGATCATATTTAGACCTTGTTCGCTCTCGGGGATCACGTGGCTAAGTGGGTAAGACGCTTGCTCGCTAGCCTGGAGGTCGGGTGTTCGATCCCTGCATTGGCCGAGAAAGTTCATCCCGATTTTCCGGCGTGGTTTCCCCTTGTCAGTGATGCAGGACGGGGGGCCTGACAGGGACAGCTGTCTAGTCCTTCGGATGAGACGAAAAACCGAGGTCCCGTGTATACATTGGAATGCACGTAAAGGATCCCTTGGCAGTTGGAATTCGATATAAGAGTAGGCGATAGTGCCGCTGCCCGGACAAAATTTCCCTCATAGCACACTGTATGGCGTATGCCCGTCTTCATTAGCCCAGTTTAGGAGCAGAACAGTAGGACGTTAAACCCCATTTCATTTCACTGCCGTCTACCGAGTGGCTTTGGTGTCTTACATCCAAGTCCATACCAGATCCATATATAAATACAATCTGTCCAACTGCGGACCTGGTGGTCAGTTTGTTATGTAATAGATCAGCATTAGAACAAGAGAAATATATAACAATGAAGACAGTAGTTGGCTAAGTTCTCTTTATATATGGTGGGTCAGTTAAAACTAACGGGTTTATATTTTCCTACGTACGATTTGGTGGGCCAGAAAATGGAACTGTGTAAGGATCTGTACTAAGATTAAACGACAAGGTCATTATACAGGTCACAATTCTATGGAATACAATTACTGCTTTTTACTGAGCGACGTTTCGACTAGGCTTCTCTAGTCATTATCAAGCTATGATAAAAAAATGAAAATATGACAGGACAATATATACATGTACACAACAATGCTAAGTTAATGCTGACAAACCAGGGATGTAACTTAATTACGTGTACAAGGTCATTATGTTACCTTATCACAACGGAAACACAATGTTTCACAATACTTAATAGTTGTTTTTCGTCCATACTATCATTAAATATTAGTAATGGGAGTCCTTTGTTGCTCTCTTCTGAACATTATACGATTCCCATACAATTAGTATTTATTATTAACGGGAGTCATTCACGGGGCCGTGTATGCTGCCTCTTCCCTGAACACCATGTATCACTTTATTATATTCCCATACTACCTTTATAATCCCATACTACCTTTATATCACATTCTACCTTTATATTCCAATACTACCTTTATATTCCCATAAAACCTTTATATCACATACTACCTTTATATTCCCATACTACCTTTATAATCCCATAATACCTTTATACCGCATACTACCTTTATATTCCCATACTATCTTTATATTCCCATAAAACCTTTATACCGCATACTACCTTTATATTCCCATACTATCTTTATATCACATACTACCTTTATATTCCCATACTACCTTTATATTCCCATAAAACCTTTATATCGCATACTAACTTTATATTCACATACTACCTTTATATTCCCATAAAACCTTTATATCGCATACTACCTTTATATTTCCATAAAACCTTTATATCGCATACTAACTTTATATTCCCATACTACCTTTATATTCACATACTGCCACTATATCACATTATACGATACCACGATAACAAATAAAACAACAACAAAGCTAAAATGCATCTTTATTTTATCATTCTCTTAAAAAGAGTCTTGCACATGCAAATCATCATTTCACAAGGTCGCATTCATTGAAACTAAAACGTCGATCTCTGAAAACAAACAAACAAAAAAAAAATGATGATAAGGACTGTTCCACCTGATATTAAAGGAGATCGGCCAACTGATATCAAAGGCGATGGTCCACCTGATATTAAAGGAGATGGTCTATATATTTGCCATGGTAGTTGCTAGAATTCGTCAACGTTTAACAACTGATTATCAACATAGTTTCATTACCATATATATATATAATATGTATAAACATAGTCTCGGTACCATATATATAATATTAACATAGTCTGAGTACCATATAATATATAATAAACATAGTCTCAGTACAACATATATAATATAGACATAGTCTGAGTACCATATAATATATATAAACATAGCCTCAGTACCATGATATAATATATATATATAGTCTTAGTACCATATATATAATATATATAAACATAGCCTCAGTACCATGATATAATATATATATATATAAACATAGTCTCAGTACCATATATATATATAATATATAGAAACATAGTATCAGTACAGTACCATATATATAATATATATAAACATAGCCTCAGTACCATGATATAATATATATAAACATAGCCTCAGTACCATATGGTATATAAGTAATAACATACATTAACGGTACTATAATAGTAAGTGCAGGAGGACCACACTACACGCAAAACAAAAATCCACAAGACAAACCCGCGGACAAGACAGAAAACAGACATTGCACCAAATAAACAAATATCAAATCAAGAGAATGGTTCCGGGGGCCAGCCGTAAGCGTCCACTGCGCTGTACAGTCCCGGGCCTGTGGTGACACAGACTTCACTCGAATTTGAAAAAAAAATCAGGAATACAAAAAAGACGTAACAGAAATAATGCTACCAGTCTTGACAGTGGTCGTCTCCTCAATGGCGATAGTCTGTCAGTTGACGTCATGAGTTAGAACGTCAAACAATTTTAACAATAAGGGCGATGATCCGGATAGAATCTCGGAAAACGCTAAAATAATAAGTGCAGTGAGCAAACAGGAGCAAAACCCAACAACAAGAACATTCTGCAGTACGGAGGGTTAAAACTCTACTAGTGCAGTAGGACCGCACTACACGCAAAACAAAAATCCACAAGACAAACCCGCGGAGAAGACAGAAAACAGATATTGCACCAAATAAACAAATATCAAATCAAGTGATATTTTGAAATGCTAGACATTGTGAGATAATTAATATTGTGAGATAATATAGTACTAACTTATTATAATATTGTGAGATAATTAATAATGTGAGATGATATAGTACTTACTCATAATAATTACTGTGCCAGCTGTATATCCCATTTAGGTATCTATCGGCTGGAATTTTATAATCAAGGCGGCCATCATAACTATTTAAAGGGCCTGTCCATAAACATAAATTAGACGCTGAAATACAAATACAAATTATATACACTAACTAGTTAAAAACATCGTATATCATCATTTTTTCGGTAATGAAGGATTTTCAAAATCACCAAAGTAATTTGGTTAAAGCCTTTCACTCTTATCACTATTGGGCCAAAGTGGCTCAGTGAGTAAGGTGCTTGTTTACTAATTAGAGGATCGAGACGCTTCCTTGGGATTTTGCAGAATAATTTCTGTACGCAAGGATTGACAAGAAACAAGTATTGATCATTCGGATTAGGACGACAAAACGGAGTCCTTGGTATTTGGAAGTCGGTACGGAAACAGCATAATGACACGTTACTAGACCGGGTGGTGCCAAAAACAACGAGAGTAAACCTGCGTGATAAAATACAGAAAATTTTCTACTGAAACGTACGTTTGATCACATCACAGCATTTGATGTCGAACACTCTATCCTCATAATAGTTGTTATGGAAACTCTTGATACCGGCTATTGCACCCCCTGATGGACATTTAAAGTTCATCAGATTATCATATTTATTAACTTGGTCTGAAATAAAACAATAATAATAATAGTTAGAACTGCGATGCAGTGCTGACGGATTTCAACCGTGTCCGTTAACCTCACATCACGTCACATCCCATGCCAAAGGACCCGTTTTACGGATTTCCATAGAAACATGGACTCCAAATAATCATTGATCAAGACATATTACTGTGTGAAATCCTAACAAAGTGATTAATTTACAAAGCAATGCACAAAGTTAGAAAGTAGTTGTGTGAGCTTTGTCTGAAATTATATCTGTCACTGAAATGAAATGAAATGAAATGAAATGAAATGGGGTTTAACGTCCTACTGTTCTGCTCCTAACCTGGGCTAATGAAGACGGGCATACGCCATACAGTGTGCTATGAGGGAAATTTTGCCCGGGGAGCGGCACTACGGCCTACTCTTATATCGAATTCCAACTGCCAAGGGATCTTTTACGTGCACGCCAATGTGTACACCGGACCTCGGTTTTTCGTCCCATCCGAACGACTAGACAGCTTTCCTTGTCAGCCCCTCCGTCCTGCATCACTGACAAGGGAGAATCACGCCGGAAAATCTGGATGAACTTTCTCGGCCAATGCAGGGATCGAACACCCGACTTCCAGGCTAGCGAGCTAGCGTCTTACCCACTTAGCCACGTGATCCCCATATCTGTCACTGCATACTATTCGATGAATGAAATTAGTAAATAGGAACATGAGAGTCGTTGGTAATATACTTGGTTATTTTTACATTATAAAGTTTTACAAGTATATTAATAGATTTAAACAGGTGTTACGGCTTCCGTTATTGGGTCAATGGTCGACAAATCGACGTCTTGACCTGCATAAAGACTGGATAATGTAAACATCACATGTTATGTTCTTACGTCTTTATGTCCAAGCTTGCAAATCTTTAATACAAACTCTTGCAGACCCCAATCCATTATTGTTTGCTTAATTGCCAACAGCCAGTGCCAAGTAGTTTAAAGATAGCCACGCAAAGCGTGGAAATACGCCCATACAGCAGCTTTGTCTCAACTATAGCTTATACGAGAGGAAAACTTGAAAAATGCCATTAATATTCGTAGTTTCATTAGCGTTCACAAAGTGTTAAAAAAACCCCGGGGATATCTCTTAACGGAAAGTCACAAAATACTGAATATGGATTGGATTCGTTCCCTCATGACTCAAATTTGAAAAACTGTAGCCTCTACCGCTGTCACAAGGTTTTCGGCAAAAAGGGGGTTCAACAGTCTTTCCAAAACTGTTGCGTCCACATGCCAGTTTATATCGCATTAACAAAGGGGAATTACTCCGGAACAGAAAGTAGCAAAAATCTGAAAATTTATAAGGTTAATTCACTCATGTCGCCAATTCTTACTACCAAATTTGCAAAAGTGTCGTTAGAAAATGCAGCATCTATCGCGCTCACAAAGTTTTCGCTAACGGTGGATAACTCCAGACGAAAAGTCATACAACGCTGAAAAATTGATAGAGAGAGAGAGAGAGAGAGAGAGAGAGAGAGATTGGGGGGGGGGGCATAATGTTACATAAATATTGGATATAATGTAGCACAGAGATTTCATTGATCTAAATTATAAAGCCCTGAACTAGAAAAAGTTTACTTACTTGTCCAATGGCATGAACTCGATGGGGTCAAAACACCCGTGTTGCGGCACTGGAAATCCCATAGTCTGTCCTCGTAGTGATTAGAATGTTCACTCAATATTTGAGCGAGTTCTTCTCCGGGGGGACATTCATACGACACTGGCCCATCATATTTATTTACCCAGCAGTTACAACATTCTAACATTAAACACAACACCAACAATATCTTTACCTACAAATACAAGATACACACGTGTTATCTAACAACAATATCTTTACTTACACATAAAACACACACGTGTTAACTAACAACAATATCTTTATTTACAGATACAAGATACACATGTGTTATCTAACAACAATATCTACAAATAAAAAAAGTAAGTGTTATCTATCTGGTTCGTTGCTTAGTATTATCAAGAATTGATTACTGCAATAGTCTTCTCTCGGGTATCAATCAAAAACTTATTAATAAATTACACCTAGTACAAAACACTGCAGCTAGAATTATTTTTCAGTCCACCAGAAATCAGCACATAACACCACTCCTGAAAGATCTTCATTGGCTTCCAGTCAAAAGCAGGATTGATTTTAAACTTCTTTGTATGGCTTATAAATGCCTTAACGGAACAGCACCTATTTATCTAAGTAGCCTGCTAACAAACTACAAACCACAAAGAACTCTCAGATCGCAGAATGAATATCTTTTAACTGTACCTACTTATAAACTTAAATCATTTGGACACAGAGCTTTCTCCTGCATAGTACCAACCCTATGGAACTTCCTTCCTTTAAGAATTAAAAATTCCAAGAGCCTGGAATCTTTCAAATCACAATTAAATACATATCTATTTACGTTATCATACTAACTTCTCCAATTAAATGTATATTATTATGTGAAGAGCTGACAATTGCGCCATGAGCATACACGAATGGAATGTGCGCATTATAAATACACACTATTATTACTATTATTATTAATAGTTATATCTTTAAATATAAACACAAACGATAACTTTAACTACAGAGAATGAACATTTTTTTAGCCATCTATTAATATGAGTATATTATAACATAAATAATTTATATCTAACTTATTTTGGTTTTAAATCATTAATTGTACAGTCTTCATAGACAATGGTAAAAAGAACTGAGCCCTGACTTAAACTAATGGAATGAGTTTTAACTTATTACTTGTCTTCAGCAACCTCACACTGATCAGATGTGAATATACGCTAGGCAGCTACAATAAGATCTCTGTGAAACAGATTGCAGCAACCTGTATTATGTCATGTAGTATGCGATGGTAGCAATTTTACCCGGGCAGTGGTCTTTCCGACTAATTCAAACAGCCAAAAAGGAAAACAATTTTACGGGTACCTTGGTTTTTAGTCTCATACGAACTCAATTGCTCCTCGCCAGGAGAAACCACGCTGAAAAATCTCCAAGAATTTTTGCGTCAACACAGGGAGTGAGACTTCTCAGTTAACACCCGGGAGTGGGCCACCCCAGTCAACATATGAGAGATGTTCAAATCAGATAGCATGCGACAAATCTATCAATTCATTGCCAAGATACGTCATACCGGCGTCAGTTCCTGTACGAGTAGTACGAATTTATAGCTTATAAAGGTTTTTAATCAGTTAACGGGAGTTTGTGAAAATATGCTCTAATCTAAGTAATCGCGATTTTTACAATAAGCGTTGTTTATGAGTATTACATGACATATCAATTGAATTACACATATTAATAATCTAACACAATCAACTATCCCAAAGTATGCTACTTACGGCTTCCATAACTGCAAGATTTCGTGAACGGCTTGTGATATAAACACGTTCTCTCAGCATTCTGAATTATCCAAATTCACAAACAGTTTATATAGGCAAGTTCATTGCAACATTAAAATTTCATAAAGCAATATAAACAAGTTTTAAATTATTAATCTCGACCATTTTAAATTATCTGTAAAATAAAATCTAAATCAGTTATCGTATTCCATGAATTATTAATTTTAATGATTACAATTCTAACAGAATATTGTGTATGCAGCATTATTTAGATATTTATTCAAATGCCAATTCCTTTTCCAACTCTTTAGGAGAGAGAGAGAGAGAGAGAGAGAGAGAGAGAGAGATGGGGTTTAACGTCCACTCAACACAAACTAGGTCATTTCGGGACTAACACATGGTTCCATTTTATTTCAATAATTCGATTGCGCGTAGGGGTCTTTAGAAGTGGGAGGAAACCGGAGGACCCGTGGGAAACCCACGAGGTTGGACAGGCGACCCTAATCCCTGTCACGTACAACCGGGGATTTGAAACAACGCCAGTTGACTCATTGACAGACCTTATGATACAGCACGCACGTACTAACCATTCGGCCATCCAACCCCCCAACTCTGTAGGCCATGGGATGGCCGAGATATTGAGTGGATTAGAGAATGGGAGTAGACATTATTAAACGGTAATATTGACGCCCCTCACGGAGGAACTGGGAAATCGAGAAAATTTAGGCCATTCATACATTTCATAACTGCGCTCAGAATGAAGTAATAAGACTGGCATTTAATTAACCTCCTGGGTCATTTCGGGACTAAATATGTCTCAATTTTATTTCAATAATTCACTCTCTCGTAGGGGTCTTTAGCGTCGTGAGGAAACTGGAAGACCTGTAGAAAAGTAAAAAGGTTGGACAGGCGACCCTACTCCTTGTCACGTACAGGCGGGAAATCATTCTTACCAACCACCACCATGCTTTCACCAACCATCACCATGACTTCACCAACCACCACCCGGATTCCACCAACCACCACCTGGATTCCGCTACCAGTGCCAACCAAATGGATAACCAAACCAGCTCCAACCAAATCGACAACCAAACCAGCGGAAACCAAATCGACAACCAAACCAGCGCCAACCACCTCCAGAGAATGCAGGTATCGTGAAGGCCTTCTTCCAGGTCCTCCAATGCCTCCACCATTGACCATTGTGGAGAGTCTGGAGAATTGAACACCGACCACAAGTTTCACTTGGAAGATTCAAGACCTGAACAAGTTCGTGAAGCCGGCTACGAAGACGCCTACCATAGCCACCACCATTAAACTTGAAATTGGTCAAGGACGTCGCCTCATCCTTGTCGACACACTAACGAGCCATGCTAGTGGAGAAACTTCAAGTCACGTCACTTTACCAAAGATGATCTACAAGAGTACTCTAGCCACGCCCTAGATTGGACCAAGAAGTCCTACGACAAGCGACTTCGGGATAGTGTGAACACAAAGTTCCATCGCCTCCTTCCACGGTCCTTAAAACTGTCCCCCTCCCGCCTCACCTACTTCCTCGGGATCTATACCGCCACTGAACGCACTTGTCAACTGTCTATCCCCTAGATCGTCCAGCATTTCTAACCCTAGAATCACTACCAGATCTTCCACCAGATGTAGGCGATCACCCAACCTATCCATAAAGAGATCTCACAGCTACAAAGGTAAAGACGAGAAGGGTTTATGGTACCTACCACCCGTCATGGCGAAGACCCTGGTTATTGGATCCTTTAACCTGGCTAGGATTGTATCCTTCCTCGGGGACTTGGAGATCCATAGCTATTCTGGAGCCAAGATCAGCCACATCAAACAGATCCTCCAGAACTACATGGGACCTGTACCAGAGAAATTAGTGATACATGTTAGGCTCAACAACAGGGACGAAAGTGGACCAAGGATACACGAGCAGATGCTAGATCTACTCAAGGTGACCAGAACGGCTTTCCCAACAACCAAGCTCTTCACCACACAGGTCCCCACTTCTTCACGACTCCTTCCAAAACATCACCAGCTACAACTGATCTCCATTGCACCTTCACCAAAAATACCACAATACGAAACTTCAAGGGCAAAATAGAACTGAAAGGTAACCCAGACACGGTTAGAGAGATCAACTGCTGGATGAGGAATTGAAGGAAAGGGAACGAGAAGCCGTCTTTAAGTCAGACAGTTGTCAATTTGAGCGACAGACTTCTCAGCCCCCTAGAAATGAACATTCTTGACAAAGGCCATAAATCCATCCCAATGCCAACAATAACATCCATAGACCCCATCACCCAGACAACCGATCGCTTCCAAAGAACACTTCCGGTGACTCATTGTGTTAGGAACAAACTCGGCAGAGGTAAAAAAAAATTATTTACAGAAAAAATCCACATGAAAACCATTTAAAAAGTCATTATCACTAGCCATCCTAAACCCTTTCGACGAAATGAACACAGAAATATCATCCCTTCAACCACAATCACAAAAACCAAATCTCAACCGAGCTAAAAAAAAAAAAAAGATCTTCAAACACCCACAAAAAAGACAAAAAACATAATAATTAAGAAAAGCTACAAAGGCTTTTGTTGTGTCATACTGAATCGCACAGACTATATATATCTCTGAGACAGAAAAACAATTAAATAATCCTAAACATGACACAAAATTAGACCAACCCATCTTTAAGGAAACGGCAACCTTAATAAACAACAACTTGAATTAATTGCAAGACAAGGAATACATAACAGCAAAATATATGATTATCTATCGCCTAAATCTGACTGCCGACAACGACACTTATATAAGCTACCAAAAATACATAAAAATACAGAAACGGAATGGTTTATACCTAATAAATTACAATATCGTATCACAATAGTTAGATCATTTCTTAATACCCCCTAGCATGCCTACACCCATACTCCATTAAATACACAAAACCAAACAGTTAAGAGTCCCTGAGCACACCATCTTAATACCCATCGACGTACAGAGCATGTACACGAAGATCGATAATACCACAGGAGTTGAAGCAGTTAGGAAAGCATATCTTAGGAACCCGCAAGCATCTAGACCGGACGAAGAAATCCTCAAATTACTCGACATTTGTCTGAGGAGGAATGACTTCGCTTTCAACCACCAAGTATACCTCCAGTCTTCCGGAACTGCGATGGGAAAACGATTTGCCCCGATTTATGCAAATCTCTTCATGGCGGAGTGGGAAAGGGAATTCTGCCAATTTGGGACGTTTTGCAGCATTCTGAACAACCATCATCCATCTGGCAAATTAACTACAAATGTAGGTCATAACAGCATAGATTTCCTTGACACAACCGTTTTTAAAAGTAGCAACACCAAAAACACGGGCCAATTATAAACTAAAGCATTTTTGAAA